TTCGGGCGGTTGGCGGGTGGATTATTTTTAACAGCGGATTCGGATGACTCAAAGTGCAACAGATTAATGAATTTATCGTTAAAATGTATTAAAAATTTTAGGGACCGCCTAGAGGTACCGAGCTCTCACAAATATGTTTTGGGAAACCCATTAGACTATATGATAGTCTACGAAAAATACAAATTAAATTATCTTATTATTAAAATACATGATCAGGATTTTACCGCCTCTGCCTAGTTTTGATCCAGGAAAAACCCCGTAATATATATATACATATTTAAACTGTAGTCTTTTAAAAAGGCTTCTGAAAAAATAAACTAAGTGCAATGTAGTGTTTTCAAAAATATAGATTTTTCAATACATTGATACTGAAATACCTGAGACGCTTCCAATACTAATTTTCCACAGAAAAGACACACAATACCAGCTTTCTCTCTCTCTCTATCCGACAGCGAGTTACAGACAAACCTGCCTCTCCTCACTTACTCCTTTAATAAGCTTCGGCTGAATAATGTTGGTGTTAGAGCTTGTTTCGCCATGGGATTTGTGCATAATTTTACCCATTCCCGCTAATTTTTTGCACAAAGTGTGGCACATAAAGTCGTTTCTCACTACTACATTCAGTTCTTTTTTTTTGCTGCTTATTGCTTTTAAACAGTCAAAAACACACAAAATAATGCCAAAATACAGGTCTTGGCGAGTACTAACGTAAACACAGAAAACGCAACAGTATAATGGATCTGTGCGTCAGGTCTTAAAGTGACAGCAGCCTAATATTCCTGCTGCCAAATTATGAGATAATATTAAAATATCTATATGGCAGTTTTTCCCCATGGTATCAATGTCAAAATTGTGGCCAGTGAAAATGCTGAACTTGCAGTGGAAAACCACTAGCCACAGCGACTGCTGAGCAAAAAGGTTAATGTCAAGCAACAATCATACTGATGGTTGACATTTCAGTCTTCTCTAGCCAACATTTCTTAGAGATGATGGACACCATAATATCATCAACAGCACACGCTGAAATAATTACATCCTTTATCAGTGCCTTTGATGGCGAGTTCATGAAACGTGTGTGTCCACCTGATCCAGAACAGCAGCTTCGAGAAGCACCTGAGCTGTTGTGAAACTCTGGTGTGATCTCAGACTGAGTAAAACCAGAACCTCTCAAATCGAATATGAAAACGCAAGTCATAAACTCCCTAATTTCCATTTCACCTGATATCAACATAAGAAATTTCATACTCCCCAATAAGGTGGTGATACACACACTGGTTTAAGGCGCTCAGGACGGAGGCGGACGCGTTCTCTCCCAGTAACAGGGAGGACGGATGTTTTGTCGAATATTTCACCTGAGAAACTCCCTCAGAGCGATTGGCTCTGGGCTGAAAACTGTTATTGTGACATTTAAAGGTTAAATATGGTTAAATGTCAGGAACTATGCGGGCAGGTGAGAGAGGCCCCATCCATAAACGACACATCCGAAACTTCGACGGCAAGACGAGTTCATCAGCTCACGAAGACATCATGCCGGTACATAACATCTGACAGCTTCAAAACAAAGACATATTTTTTCTCTCTTAAATCACGATGGGGTTTTCCACCGTTCTTTTTTATAGTTCACAATCAATATAAAAACGTATGCACTACATAATCATGGTCAATATAGGACAAAATGGCTGTAATGGTGATGTTTTGCATTTAGCTGGGCATTTCCCCACATTCTCTGTATATATATCGTCATCCTTAAAACATGACGCTCATGAATTTTAGATTAGTATTTTGATGTCCATAAAACCTATTAAATTTCATATTCAGTATTAATTCCTGTCACTATGAGTGCAGAAAAATCTGCAACTCAAAAAGTCTTGCAAAACATGATTTTGAAAAAAAAAGTTATAAAATATTATCTAAGTTATATAAATTTGATTTTGTATTTGGTAACTTACAGAAATCTATATACAGTTTAAACCTTTTGTAATTTTCCAGTATGAACATTGAACAAATAAAAGAAGAAGCTGTGACAGAGCACAGATTTGTTTATGCTTTGCAACAAAGACTGCATGTATTTGATCAGAAATACAGTAAAAACAGTAATATTGTGAAATATTATTACAATGTCAAATAACAGTTTTCTATGTGAATATATAGTAAAGTGTAATTTATTCCTGTGATAAAGCTGATATTCAACATCATTACTCCAGTCTTCAGTTCAGTGTCACATGATCCTTCAGAAATCACTCTAATATGAGGATTTCATGCTCAAGAAACATTTTCATTATTATCGAAGAGTTGTGCTGCTTCATATTTTTGAAGAGACACTGTTTCCCCAGAATTATTTGATGAATAGAAATTTCTAAAAGAACAGCATTTATTTGAAATCGAAACCTTTTGTAACCTTGTAAATGTCCTTACTGTCACTTTTGATCAATTTACTGTGTCTTTGCTGAATTAAAAATATGAATTTCTGTCAACAACAAAAAAGATTTATAAATCTTACAGACCCCAAACATGTGAACAGTGTATATTTCCAATTAATTGATAGCATTTAGATCATTCTTTTCCAACAATAACTTGGGTAATAGGGCATACATCCGATCTTATGTGTTTTAAAACTAGATTTAATGCTATGGTAATATTATACATAGATAATACTTTAACTGGTAATAGTTCAAGTCTCTAGATCTAGTAATAATAGTTCTCATAAAAACTTGGGACTAATACTATAACGTTACCCTACTGACAAAAAGGACATAAGTGTCTCTATGCTGAAAACAAATGCCCCATAAAAACTTTTTTTGCAAAATTATCTAATTATTTTAATAATTGTTACAACAGTAATTGATGAAGTGTATCTCCATCGTGAACTAAAGGTAATGTAATTTTTGCAGAACAGAAATGTGCATGATGATTCTTGTTATGCTAAAATTTAGTTTAGTCCCCTTTAACAGTTTCTGAGGTTTCGGTAGCACAATACTGTCCTGATTCTCATTTTCATAATAAATACAAAGGGGAAAAACTGAGATCAGTACTTTCACCAGTGTCAGGGTGAAAACCCCTTTCTCGTGCGTTTCCAGTATGTGTCTGATGAAAGGTTTATAATGCTTTTAGAAACAAAGCTTTTTCAGATTTCTCATTTATTAAACGTTACATGAAATCCACGATGTCCAACGGTGTATATAAATGCATCGCTAGAACATTCTGGCATTTATGTCTAACTTATCAGACAAAAAAAAATATGGCTCAACTGAATTAAACCACGTCAACTGAAATTAAGATGTGGGGTCGAAACTGTCGCTTTGGTTCACGTTAGTCGCCATTTTAATCATATTTTAGCTTTCCTATAATCACACTTCTTCTTGTCACATGACCCAATACGTGAAGTTGTGTGAGGAGGATTATTACTTGTAACGACTGTCTGTTTTAAAAAAATGCGCTAAATTTAGCAATAAACACGTTGAAAATGCATTATACATACTATATTTTAAAATAGGCTTTTCTTAAGCAAATAATGGAATGAAAATTACTCACCCTCTGCTTAAAACATCTCTTGGTCTGTTTATCAGCGGCGCCAAAATCCAGTTTATCACGTGACGATGTATTATGCTGATTGGGGGAGACGTTAGGAAATTTGATTGGATTTATTAATTTATTTACAAAATATCAATTCCAAAATGTATTTAAAAAAAATTAAATACCAACATTAGGCTATATTTAGGCTACTTTCGAGTTGAATATAGCTTTATTTGTAAAACTGTATAAGCTAATTCACCCCAAAATGAAAACTCTGTCAGTTTACTCTCCCTCATGTTGTTCAACCCTGTAAGACTTTCGTTCATCTTCGGAACACTAATTAAGATTTTTCTAAATAAATCTGAGAGCTGGATAACTCCTCTATAGGCTTCTAATGGATCAAAACTGGCTGGCCCAGAAAAGTTATTAAAGACATTGTTAAAATAGTCCATGGCTCAAAAAAATGTATCAAGCGACGAGAATTATTTTTGTGCGCAAAAAATAAAATAAAAATAAAAATAACAAATTTATTCAACCATTCATTTCCTTCTGTGGGCCTCGAGATAGTTCACATAGTGTAACAGCACAGCACTTCTGTGTTGTACGTCCTGGCGAATTGGCGGTATCATTTTCTACAATGGAAGTGCAGGTGCGTCGATGCGTCGTCCATCTTTTTTTACATAAATCGCTTCAGTGGGTTGTGCTACTGCTATTTTTCTATGTGTTTTCTTGGATTGTTCTGCTGATGAAACAAGTTTCAACTTTTCAAGCTTCAGTTGACAAAAAAAAAAGAAGAAAATATCTAGACAACATAAGCTGTGGAAAATGATAAGTAATCAGGAAGCTTTATAAGCCGACATCTTTTTACAGCGGATGGCACTGAAAAAATCTTTTTACAGTGGATGGCATTGAAAAAATCTTTCTCAAACAGCCTCACTTTCATACTGTCATAGCACCGCTCTGAATAAGGTCCATGGTTTACAAGAGATAGCTGGTTTTGATTGTCTATTATTTGTCATATGTATATGCACCATCTGATTTGATCTTCACGTCCCAATTTTAATAGATATTTTAGATGCGAAATTGATGGTCGTGGTGAAAATGAAGTCATAACTGAGGGACGCTGCTGCAAATGAGTATTATTGCCACACGTTAACTAGGCTACTGAAAATGTTTGTTTTGCTCTTTGCTTCCATAATCAAAGTTTTGAAAATATATCATAGTTCATATTTTTCACATTGGAGGTTGGGGTAAAAGAGTTAGAGATTCAATACAAAACCCACAGAGTGGTAATATATACTAAGTGAGTGAAATATTGCAATATTTACGTGAAGTGGTATTTAAATAAAACTCGAAAACAATAATAATCGTGCAACAAAACTCAAAGTCCCAGAGTTCCTGATGCGCTCGTGTGAGGAAGTGACTGAACGCCCAATGAGAGGCGAGCTCGCGAGTGACACTGGTGTGGAAGCGCGTGCTCAACACTGAGCTGTCAATTACTGTTAAACAAGGACAGATAGACGTCAATACACGCTCCTGAACTCACAATCTGTGGACGACGCACTTTTCGAAAATGGGTAAGCAATTATATTACTTTTAATGCACTTAATGTGTAATATCAACATGATTATGGTACATTTTAATGCTTTTAAATGAGTTTTTAACTACAGTGAGATTGTCTGTGAACTGGCTTTCTAGACCTTGACAGGTTTCCTAAAACAAACCAGATCCCAGTTTTAGATTTAATGCCTAATTCATAGATTTAAGATATTATATACACTGTGCAGAAGGTATCAGTGCTTATTTATACGTGGCAATACATTTTAATTTAACATTTGAAATGGTTTGGGAATTAATCACTACACTATATGTCTATTGGCATGGCTTAAAACTATAATATTACCTATGATATTTTTGTTACTAGCACTTTTTTTACATTGCACATATAAGTGATATAATAGTGACTAATATATGTTTCAGTTTTAAAATTAACCATTTCTGAGACATTAAGTTAGTTGTTTTGACTAGTCCTGATGCTATAGCCAATGGGCTAGTTAAATTAAAAATCTTAGTAGAAAAACTGAGATTATACAATGAAAATAATTAAGTGTATAAAGAATTTTCACCCAGAAATTGTTACACTGTAAAAAATAAATAATTGTTGGTTTAACTTAAAGTAAACATCCTGGTTGCCTTAAAAAAATTGAGATTGGTTTAATCAACAGAAAATTAAAATATTATGTTATCTGAAACAAATGAATTATCTAAGTTGATTTGACAAAAGAAAAAAAAGTTGTGATCAACCTTTAAATTGGGTGTTTAAGTCATTTCAACTTAAATTACATTAAACTGACTAAAAATTAGTCGAATCTTGTATAATTCATAAAAACAAGTTGAAAATTGCTTACCTTGTTTTGATGAGATAACGCAATGTCAAACATACATTGTCATAACTTAATTTTTTAACAGTGTAGTAAATTTACATTTACTACTATTTTACTCATAACAAACAGTTATGAGTAAAATAATGAATTAATTCCATTTTTCAGGTAGAAAACAATTTAAATAATTACATGTATACTAGTGAAACTCACTACTGAATGTTTTCTTGTAAAACATACTCTAATAATCTTTATTTTATTTTTAACAGTGTATTAGCCTAACAAATGGTTAACTAGTGAAACTGAAAAAGATACTAATGACTAATTTAAAAATAAAATCCTAGTTAAATTGACACGTTTTTTTTTTTTTTTTTTTTTTTTTTGAGTGGTAAGTGGCTTGCCATAGCTATTTCTGTCATTTTAGTAATTTGAGTGACAGTAATAAGGCGTATATATGAGTAACCATAACAAGTTTTGCTCTTTGAGGAAGTGGTTTAGAGAAATAGCAACACATTGCTGTTGAAGCGTAAAACCCCTCATCAGATACACTGACTGCAAACTGATGAAAGTGAGCTAGATAAGCCTAATGGCCCAACACACACATCACAGACACTGATGATAACTCTTCAGCGTCTGACGTCGTCATAACTCCTGTGTGATGATATCACAGGGTTATTACATTATGATGTTGTTTTTCGAGACCAGAAAGATTGCAATCGTCAATCCGGGATGTGACAGATTCACCATCAGAAGAAAAGCCGCAAAGGCCAAGTAATATCGCTTTGTTAAATGCTGAAATCGAGGTCCATCATCCTTCCAGAAAACAATGCAGAAGTTGCTATCGCATCAGTGATAATATCAGTCGAACTTGTCACACAGTGTCTCTGCGCTGTGGCTCAGAAGGGGAAGTGGAATAACAGAAGGCTGTTGAGTGCCCTGGCACCGGAAGCGTCTCTGGATGTTTCAGACACACAGATATTCGAGTGTAAAGAGTGATGAGGTGCCCTGAACACATAAATCAGTGGTTTTTGTCAATGAGAAGCTGTCAGTTTACGATGGCTTGATCTGCTCGCTCGTGCATGGGACACTTGATGATATTGCTCTGAATAAGCATGTAAAAAAAGGCCGTGTATGTAATAAACACATGATTGATTCGGTGAACCAATGCGAGATATTGCTTTTATTATGATCTGAGGATCCGATCCGTGTCGGTTTTGTTAGACAGCACACAAAGTTTTTTTTTTGTTATATTCGAGCAAGTATCACAGCTGTGGTTTATGCATACAGACAGGAAGTAGTGTTGTAATCATGTGGTTTCATATTCGAATGTTTCTCTCTCTCACGTCTATTTAATTCAACGCTTCTAATGCAAAACTGCGTTTTATAGAGCAGACGTGCTGTTGAGAGAGAGAGTCGCTCAGTTTATGTACATTCAGTACTTGTTTTGATGTTTGTGGTCATTGGGATTCCCAGGATTGTTGTTGATGTTGTTTACTCACAATCATGTCATTTCAAACCTGTAGGACTTTCTTTCTTCTGTGTGCAAAAGTATTTTGAAGATAGTGGTGTTGTTGTGAAATAAAACTAATGAAAATCGTTTTCTCTAATTGAAATAAAGTTGAAATAAAATATAAATATCGGATGAAAAACTTCAAAGAAATTTAGAAATGTTGCCTTGGCAGCTAATTGAGATAAATAAGTTTAAGTACCAAAACTGAAATTCAGATTTCAAGCTATAAATGTACAAATCGAAAACAGGAAATATAAATATTATTAGATGAAAAGAAAAATTATTGTTATTGGAAAGTAACTGAAATAATTCAGCGGAAGTACTAAAATTACTTAAACTAAAGCTGATATAAAAATGTAACCTATGTGACGAAATATAAATTATAAAATTATAAATGTTACATTGGCAACTAACTGAAATATGTAAGTTGACATATAAAATACACTAAAATTACTAAAAAAATAAATTAATTTAAATTTAACTTGTACACTGTAAAAAACATTGTTGGTTTAACTTAAAAAAGTAAATAACCTGGGTTGCCTTAAAATTTTAAGTTGATTGAACTGGAAAAAGTGAGTTAATACAATGAAGGAGATTAATTTAATCATCAGAAACTCAAAATAATAAGTTATCTCAACTAAATAAATTATTAGAAAGTTGATTTGACAAAAGAAAATATATTGTGATAACAAATCTTGAAAATATTTTTTACAGTGTAAATATATATTAAGAAAATGTTACAAAGAAAATTATAACCAAAAAACCTAGAAAACTATAAAATTATAAATGTTATCTTGGCAGCTATACCTGAAATAAATAAGTTATCGCTCAAATTAAAACTGAAATAAAAATTATTTGAAGCAATAAATAGCCTATATAAAAATAATACAAATATAAATATCAGAATATATATTTCTATATATATACTAGAAAATTAGAAATGCTACCTTGACAGCAAACTGAGATAAATAAGTTGACTAAAATTATACCTATCTATATAATATATATATATATATGGAAAAAATTAAATAAAAACTTGTTTGTAAAAATTGCAAAACAAAATTACTAAAAAATTACACTTAAAAATAAAAGTTAGTTCAAAACATGAATAAAAGTATATAAAGAATAAAGTTTTTCAGCAGTTTTTGCCTATACAACGTCAGTCAACATGTACGTTTTTTTTTGTGGTTTTTTTTTTCGTTCCTGTCCCGCAGAAGAAAGAAAGTGATGCAGGTTTCGGTTAACGATGATCATGTTGAGTTAAAACTATCCATTTCTGAGTAATCCTAAAGTTACCCCAAACGTGTTATAAATTCACCTTTGCTTTGATGCGGATTTTCGAAGAAAAAGGACTCTAAAAAAACATTTATTTATTATATTAACATATATTTATTACATTTATTTGCTATATATATATATATATAACAGCTTTATAAAGCTGATCAGTTGGCTTGCTTGCTTTCTCATCAACACTGAAAACCCCATTAAAACATTTCATTCCCACACTGTAAAAAAAATATGTTCATGATTTGTAATCACAAAACTTTTCTTTTGTCAAATCAACTTCAATAATTGATGTGCTTCAGATAACATCATATTTTGAGTTTCTGATGATTAAATCAATCTCCTTCGTTGTATTAACTCAATGAACTTGAAATTTTAAGGCAACCAAGTTACATCATTTTTTTAAGTTAAACCAACAATATTTTTTTGCAGAACAGTGTAGATTCTTTAGTTTATTCCCACGATCGTTGACGTGTGTGTAACTGTGTTTCAGTGCTGGACCCTCGCGGAGAGGTCGAATCTGGAGAAGCAGAGCGTGAGGACTGTGAAAACACACAGCAGGAGCTCGATTCACCAAAGCAGGTAATCCGCTCATCCTCAAGCCTTTAGACTCATTTCTGAGAACATCTGGTGGTTTAGCAGAGACTATCATATGACTTCAGTCCGATGCACTATTTTTATTGTGGTTCTGTGGCAAAGGCTGCGTAACAGTTCCGCTTTTGTTCCACTAAACGACTAAAAGCATATGGTTTTGAGTAAATAATGACTGAACGCGTCGCTTACTATCCCTTCAAGGCGTGAGAACGTATTATCTCGCAAACCTGAGCTGTAAACATGGATTTGAATTTGCATGGTAGTTTATGTAAATTTCACATAACCGATGAGTCTAAAATTTGCTTGTAAAAATAACATCTCACTTCCCCTTTCGATCTAATGACTGTTGCCAAATTGATTTCTGGTATTATTGCAATATTTCGGTTACGGAGAATGCTGATGTCAGGAACAATAGTTAGTCACATGACATCTTTATTATTTAGCAAGAAAATCCTCCTTTTTTTTTTGTTTTAATCTGTTGTGTGAAAAATCAGTGTCCCCGTATATTGACATATATTTACTCGACAAGTCTTTGCTCCCCTTTTTTTTTTTTTTTTCATTTTTCGCTTCTTCATTTATGGCTTCACAGTGAATAAGTGAGTAAAATGTGGCATAGTCATTTCTTTTATGCTACACACACAGATAGGCATATAAACAATGGCATATGTTTTTTTCTCTCTCTCTCTCACACTTCTGGTAATTGAAAACAGCGTTTGTATGCTAGTGCAAAGATGCATCATATTTCCAGGGTGGCGTCAGAAGTTGAAAGCCGTGTGGTTTTGGTGGCGAGCGCTGGCCATGCCACTGCGTCTTCTTCTTCTTCTTCAACATGTAGAAACTCTCATTTTGAGAGTGTTATTGACACGTCCGCTGCAGACTTTACCCACGCACTTTTCCGAAATTTGAATGGTGGAAATTGAAGAGCTGCGAGTCTCTCACAGCTACTTTTAGCCACAGTTCGAGAGGGACACACACTCACACACACACACACAAAACCTTCCTGTTTGAAACTTTAAGGTAGCGTCTAAGAGCTTAGCTCTTCCCTATTGTGGTCTTGATATGACTATATTAAATTGAACGAGTGATCTCATGTTTTTGTTGCATATCAAGTGCCCTCAATAGTTTAATGGCACGTACGTTGATGTGAATTCAATCATTACCTCAGCTCTTTTATTAAATTTGTGGTTAAAAAGGACTTTGTAAGAGATAAAAGAGAAAAGGTTTCTGAACCCAGTTCATTTTTAAAGAGCATTTTTGATCCCAAAGTGGGCGGAGTTCGAACCCGCCTTTATCTGAACTTATTCTTAATAAATAATAATAATAATTTTGTGGGCGCCTTTCAAGACACTCAAGGACACTTTACAATAAAAAAACACATAATTATACAGGGGAAAACAACAAAAACTTAAAAAAAAAAAGGTATATCATACGCATATCAGCTGCATATGATTAAAAATTAAGAAAATATTTAAAATGTGAAAATAAAGTACTTAAAGATGATTTAATGAAGTGTTTATCGAATATAAGTGTATTTGAATAGGTTTTTAGGTGTTGGTGTAAAGGAGGGCAGCTATACGAGGGAAACATCATCAGTTTATAAATATAATCAAATACAGTGAATATGTTGTGTATTATAGTCAAGTCAAGTCAGATTTATTTATATAGCGCTTTTTACAATATATATTGTATCAAAGCAGCTTCACAGTGATAAACAACTTAAAGGAGTAGTTCACTTTTTAAAAAACTTTTGCTGATAATTTACTCACCCCCATGTCATCCAAGATGTCCGTGTTATTCTTTCTTCAGTCGAAAAGAAATTAAGGTTTTTGATGAAAACATTCCAGGATTTTCACCATATAATGGACTTCAATGGGGTCCAAACGGTTCAAGGTCCAAATGACTGTTTCAGTGCAGCTTCAAACGACACCAGATGGTGAATAAGGGTCTTATCTAGGACCCTTCGAGTCATGACTCGAAAAAAGATTTGTTCATTTTGAGTCACGAACGCGCATCACAGAACAGAAAAAGACGAGCATTTGAGCTTATAAAACTTAAACTTTGTTATTTTTTTTTTAAATGGCCGATCGTTTCGCTTGATGAGACCCTTATTCATCGTCTGGTGTCGTTTAAAGCCCTTTGAAGCTGCACTGAAACTCTCATTTGGACCATGAACCGTTTGGTTCCCATTGAAGTCGAAAATCCTGGAATGTTTTCATCAAAAACCTTCATTTCTTTTCGAGTGAAATAGCAAAACTCATTAACATGTTTCTCCTGATTAAAAGATATTTAAACATTTATTCCAAGAACGTTTCTCAACGCTATTCCTCGAAGCTGGTTATTATCAGTGTTGTCAATATAACAGGAAGTGTTTGGGTAGATGGCAATCAGATAAATCTCTATATGATATTTCAGTGAAGATGACTCAAACCAGGCTCGGTCGTACCCGTAGCAAAAAGGCATGTGTCAGTGCGTTTTCTCTGTTGTATTCATGGCCGAAGCGAGGGAAAGAATGAATCAGACTCTTTTTAGATGGGCCTACATACACGTATGATATTATTCCCTTTACACGAGAGAGATATACCCTTAGGCCTCAATGTTTACTCATTTCGGTACACTGAAAAGGGGCCTTCTTGTCTTCTATATTAGTCAGAGGTTAGAATAAAGCCCTATATGCTCAATATTAGTCATTGTAGAGGCCTTGTTCTGGGAAGAAGTTACCCTCTCTGAGGAACTCTATTCAGTGTGAAACTCACTGACTGAACATTACTTAACGGCACAGTTCAACCACCAAAGTCATCAAGTGGAAATCCAAAGCTTTCTGTGCGCAACGCACTGGGGAATTTCTCTTCTCAAGCTGTTATGAATGGTTTTCGGTGTGTGAATGTGATTTAACCAAATGTTTCCAAAACTTGTTTCCACCAACACAAACGTTTTAGCTGGTTTAAGATGATCTGTGCCCAGCTTAGGAAAGAGAAAAGGCTCATATTATACACATTTTCTTTTTCATATTATTCACACTTTATTTCAATAGTCCATGTCGACTTATTCTACCAAACCGTCTTCTAATACTATAATAACTATGTTAGGTAACACTTTATTTGACAGTGTCCTTGCTAAATATTGATACATGTACTTACACTCTTGTTTTAACACAAATTTGGGTCAAATATGGACTAACCCAAATGTTGGGTTAAAAAATTTTAACTTTTTGCTTCAAAACCAACTTTTTTTTAAATAAAAATTTTAACCCAACATTTGGGGTTGTCCATATTTGACCCAAATTTGGATTGAAACAATCCAGCATTTTTTAGTAATAATCATGCACTAAATTATTCATAATTACATGCAACCAAATCCTAACCCTATACTGAGTACATGTAGTTGCTCAATATTACTCAGTACTTAAATATATAACCACACTGTAACAATGACACGTTAATATAAAGTGTAACCCGAAATTACATTAGTAGAATGTCTAAAGTGGACTATCAAAATAAAGTGCAACCAAAATGTACACTCTTAAAAATGCTGGGTTGTTTTAACCCAATTTTGGGTCAGATATGGACAAACTCAAACATTGGGTTAAAAATGTCATTTAAAAAATGTAAATGCGTCCATATTTGACCCAAAATTGGGTTAAAACAAACCAGCATTTTTTAGAGTGTACATTAGTAGAATGTCTAAAGTGGACTATCAAAATAAAGTGCAACCAAAATGTACACTCTTAAAAATGCTGGGTTGTTTTAACCCAATTGTGGGTCAAATATGGACAAACTCAAACATCGGGTTAAAAATGTCATTTAAAAATGTAAATGTGTCCATATTTGACCCAAAATTAGGTTAAAACAACCCAGCATTTTTTAGAGTGTACATTAGTAGAATGTCTAAAGTGGACTATCAAAATAAAGTGCAACCAAAATGTACATTCTTAAAAATGCTGGGTTGTTTTAACCCAATTTTGAGTCAAATATGGACAAACTCAAACATTGGGTTAAAAATGTCATTTAAAAAGTGTAAATGCGTCCATATTTGACCCAAAATTGGGTTAAAACAACCCAGCATTTTTTAGAGTGTAAATAAGATTAGTTAAGGATCAAAGTTTATTGCATTGTCCACCCATACTACTCCATCTTTAAGACTTCTCCATGAAATGAGAATCTACATCGTTAAAAGCGCTATGACTTGACTTGTAAATTAACTCTTTAATAATTGTTTCCATCCTACAGCTCCTTTAAGAGCCAGATGGTCTGTCATGCATCAAGCCTCAATGTATATGCAACTTCTGAAACAATTAGCTTACATGAACTGATTTTCTGGAGTTTACCAGGAAGCCGTAAGTCACGTGTGTTGTTTCTGAGTGGGCGATACTTGACGGCTGGCGTTCATTTCTGCATGCCTTCACTCTTTCATTTCTCACTTGCGGCCTGCCCTCACTGTGGGTCATTGTCTTGTGTTTTTGCGCGTTAGCTTTAGCACTTCCACTTTGGCGTGATCAGCTTATCACTTTGCCACTCAGGGTGAATGTGCTGTTTTTCTGTAGATAACACTCACTTACTTCCCTGTTTCACCAGGGCTTGTTCCTTTCTGGTTATGCAAGAACATCTATAAGGTGTTGAGGTGCCACAAACACACTGCGAAAAAAGCCCAGGCAACATTAGCAGAGCCATGATGTAGTGGGTATTTGCACCAACAGAGGGCGCTGCGAGGAATACTGATTACTTTGCGCCGCTACATTTATTATGAAAGCTTTTCAGAGCATTATTATCATCATGTAGCAAAAGAGGATTCAAGATAGTCACATACTAGCTATTCATCTGTTTGTATGTGTAATCGCGCCTACTTGATGAATTCGAACCCTCTATGTCTATGATATGAAGCCGCAGCCGCTAGCATCAATCGCTAGTGCGCCTCTTGAGATCAGGGGAGTGAGGTTTACACGCACATTGTGTCATAAACTGTAAAAAAAATATAAAAATGTTAAAAACCTGCCTCTTTCTGAACTTATTATTCTCATCAGAGAGGCCGTTTTTACAAATTAAAATTAAGAAAATATTCAAAAGGTGAAAATAAAGTACTTAAAGATGATTTAATAGTGAGAATGAAGTGTTTATCGGGTATAGGGCTGGGGTTAAGAAATAAATGACACACGCATAGCAAATAATATTTGATTAATTCAACTAAAAAGAAGCATAAAAAATATTTTGCATCCGTTTGTTAGTTCATAGACAATAAGTGAGGTTTCAATTTCAGAAATCTGGTCACGTTATATTACAGACATGGATGATGCCCTAAATCGTGCTGTGTTTCAAGGGCTGTGGCTTACTTTACCCCCCTTATACTCTTAAATAGGGCATCATTTGAGGGGACAGCTATTTGTTGTGGTGTCTGAAACCAGAGGCGTTTCCTGAAAACTTGTGTTTTTGTCTAGATTAGCCTTGATTAGCACTTTTTTACATACTTATACAAAGAATTCTTAATATGGAAATAATGTAATTTTAAATCAGTATGCTCTTGTGTAAAATTAACAAAAATACACTTTAATGTCATTTCTATTGAAACTTTGAAACTATGTTTGTAATTACACACTTTTCAATTCAGTACATTTAAAATATATATTCACTTTAAATGAAATATCAGATTTATAACTAATCAAAAGTGCTTTAATATGTTAGTCAACACATCAAAATAGTTCTTTAGGATGACAAAAGTTTATTAAACATAATGACACTTAAAAGTGGCCTTTTATTTTAGCATTAATAAAAATATTATTTCTGCATGTACAGTTTCTTTTAAATATATTTGTAAGATTTGAAGTACAGAACAAGTGTTCATTGAATACTATTACACATGCACAAGGTCTTTTGATTAAATTGTATAGACAAGTGCGAACTGAGGAACATAACTATCTGATAATCTCACTTCACTTTTTTAGTATAATATACAGTCAAATCAAAAATTATTCAGACACCAGATGTACTTTTAGATTTTTATTTTTATTTTTTTATTTTTTGGTAGAACACTATAGTTAATTTATGTAAGTGAGGATAGCAAAATAAAGTAAACTGTGACATATTATACCCAAAAATGCAACTGTTATTCTCTAATTGTGTAGTTAAAAGTAACAGCTGACAGATATTCAACATAATTCATTTGTGAGACGTCTAGAAGGACGGACAAAACCAGTCAAATATTGACTGGGAGTTCTTCTCATATTTGATTACCATTTTCTGAACTATAGTGAATAAACTGAACAATGTCTGAACAATTTTTAGTTTGGCTGTAGATGCATTCATTGTGATTTTCAGCTCTCGCCCTCTCTCTCTCTCTCATGCAGTAATTGCAAGGTTTCTCATGTTTGCAGCACTTGAGTCTTGATCACAGCACTAGTGCATCTCTCATTTGTGAAAACCCCACCAGTGGTTCGGTTTCCCTTCAAACAGGATGTCTGGTTACTTATTGAAAGTGGTGGTGAAAGCCAAAGCTGTTGTGTTTTCAGTCTCGCACTCTGAATATGACTGGAGTTGCATGAACACCTATATCACCTACAATTTTGCATGAGGCTTTCAGAAAATGAATCAGGTTTATCATGCTATTTGTGTGAAAGTGAAATTTGAAGGTAATTCGAAGCACAATTACGCCGCTTCCTGTAAATGACACAAACTCTCCCACATATATTCATATCTTGCCTATATCGTGTACAGTGCACATGCACACTGTATATTTATTGACAATTGAACTCTTATGTTGGGAATCCTGAACTAGACAGAAATTGAAAATGATGTGAAATTTATGCACTTTTATCACAATTTCACCTTAAAAAAGGCCTATTTTTTTTGCATTGCGACCATTTAATTTTCTCTCAATTTTTCACTACAAAATTTTTCACTACATCAAATCAACTTTAGAATAATTTAATTAGTTGAGATAACTTATTATTTTGAGTTTCTGATGATTAAATTAATCTCCTTCATTGTATTAACTCACTTTTTCCAGTTCAATCAACTTAATATTTTAAGGCAACCCAGGTTACTTACTTTTTTAAGTTTAACCAACAATATTTTTTTACAGTGGAGTAATCACAACATTTTTTCTTTTGTCATATCAACTTTATAATAATTTATTTAGTTCAGATAACATATACTTTTGAGTTTCTGATGATTAAATCATTCTCCTTCATTTGTATTAACTCACTTTTTCCAGTTCAATCAACTTAATATTTTAAGGCAACCAGGTTACTTACTTTTTTAAGTTAAACCATCAATATTTTTTTACAGTGTAATGGTGATTCTTATTAAATTCTTATTACTTGAAAACAAATAGTTTTTAATATAAATCAGTAAACAAGCAAGACTACCATCATTTACATTGTTTATCATTTGAATATAAATAAATAAAAATACAGTAATAATGTAGTAGAAAATAATGTCACAGCAGCTTATGTTTTCCACCTATTTTTATGCGCATTTTGGGATATTGCATAAAAAACGCTGTAAGGAAACGCCAAGATGCTCATAAATATTCAATATTTTTTATCTGATGACAAAACATACGCTTTACTGAACAAATTATGTGTGAATAATAAATTAAATGTGACTTTGCCTGTATAGACGACATACCTGGACTAGCCAGTCATATTTGGCGCCAGTTTTGACGATTTACCTCTCGCTTGATGGAAATGTTGCTTTATTCGCAAATGTTTAATGCGATATTTCAATTTTGTTCAGCCAGATATTTGTTGAATTTTTTATGGACAACTTTCGTGATTTTGTGTCTTTTAACCATACGCCATTTTCCCACTAGACCAGCATGGAGATGGAGAACTTGCCATCCACCAATAGCAGTGATGAGGCTTCCAGAACTGACCAATCAGAGAGTGAAGAGAGGACATTTGTGACCAATCTGTACTGTTTTATGAAGGAAAGAGGCACGCCGATCGAGAGAATTCCCCATCTCGGCTTTAAACAGAGTGAGTCTGAAAACTGTTTCATCTTATATAATATCATTTAAATCAGTGCTTTTGCTTTTGGCGTTGAACTTCATGTGGTAACACTACACCAAAACTCTCAAAATCATGCAAATGTAATATATGTATCTATATATATACTGTATTGGGGCTGTCAAACGATTAATCACGATTAATCGCATCCAAAATTAAAGTTTGTGTTTACATAATATATGTGGGTGCACTGTGTATAATTATTTTGTATATATATATATATATATATATATATATATATATATATAAATACACACACATGCATTTATATTTAAGAAAAAAAAATATTTATGTAATAAAGTATATGTAAATCTATATACAGTATATACATGAAAATATTTCTTAAATATATACAAGCATGTGTGTGTATTTATATATATGAAATAATTATACACAGTGCACCCACATATATTATGTAAACACAAACTTTTATTTTGGATGCGATTAATCGCGATTAATCGTTTTACTGCCCTAATACAGTATATTACAAAAAGCTGCTTTGTCTTAATGATATTCAAAATAGCTGAAAATGTACTTTGTAAATGGGTTGATGCTCTCAGCAGCCATAATTCACCTCACAAAACACATTGTCATCATAAACCATGTTTAAAACTATATATAACTAATGCATTTTATTATTAACATTTAGCACCAGCTGAGAACCACTAACATAAAAAAAACACTGTATCTGTCACTTTCCGCGAATACATTTATAAGCATTAAAGACACAAACTACATGATTTTTGTTGTAAAAACTGCTGGATAAATGATCTAAAATATATACATTCTTAAATTAGTCTTGACCTTCTCAACTCCAGCTATTGAAATCATTAGTCATAATATGGTATTATCATTAGCCACAATTATTTGAATGTGACGCGTTACAGGTACTTACTAAAGTAATAACAGTATTCATAATCACAAGCAACTATTCCTTAACCAAACCCTAACCATAACTCTATAGTAAGTACACGTGGTTAATTAATATTACTCAGTACTTATTTGAGTAACTGCATCACCTGAAAATAAAGTGTAACCTCTGAATTTTACAAAAATGGCTTTGTCGAATGCATTTGTCAAGCTCAAACTAGGGCTGTCAAACGATTAATCGCATCCAAAATAAAAGTTTGTGTTAACATAATATATGTGGGTGCACTGTGTATAATTATTTGATATATATAAATACACACACAGGCTTGTATGTATTTAAGAAATATTTTCATTTATATATAATTTATTTTATATATAAATAATATTTTTTTCTTAAATATACATGCATGTGTGTATTTATATATATATACAAAATAATTATGTATTATGTGAACACAAACTTTTATTTTGGATGCGATTAATCGCGATTAATCGTTTGACAGCCCTAGCTCAAACATGTAAAAAATATTTCTTTATTAATTTGGAAGAAAACTAGCAAGCCAGAAGTGAGCGAGAGCGTTGTTTTAATTACTTTATATGAAATATAATTAAAACAAAAAAAAAAATCTAAACTGCAGCAGAGTTCCAGAATTTAGTAACATGTTTCCACACCTAATATCAAATTAATAGATAATAAAAAGCACCTCCTTTTACTGAACTTTAGCTGAAACATTAAAATAACGTGTGCATTTTTGCATTTTGTGGGAAGTGGATCTACATATCAACCCCTTTTCTTTTTTTTCCCAGTCAACCTGTGGAAAATCTACAAAGCTGTGGAGACTCTTGGAGGATATGATGCGGTAGGTGTCCTGAAGCAAACAAACCTTTCACAACCTGTTGCTGGTCTATCTCCCCCCATCTCTCATTCATGCCACTGATAGCACTATCTTGTCGATATATTGTGCAAGTGTGCCAACTGCCCAAGGCTTCCGCACCTCACGAGGAAGTTGAGAAGCAGGTCATGCATTCGCCGCTTGCTCTTGCACAGTGGAAACTATGATGGCTTTAGGTCACACCATACATACAGCAAGTGACCGTTATGACCACAATGAGAATGGGGTCCATCCGCCACTTGCTCTTTCTGTCCAAACCTGCCTCTACAAAGCTTTGTTCTCACTCTTGAGTTTCCACTCACTCTAAGGTGCTAAAGTGTTTGTATTTTAATAAGTGTGCGTGTGGTCAGTTAAACCGATGTCTGTCTGTGTATAATTTTAGCCTTGGTCAGAGGGGGTCTTGCTTTCTTGGTGTGAATGGGGTCTGGGAGTGGAAAGTTTGACCTTGTAAGAGTCATGCAACAAACAAGAAAGCAAAGAGTGCCATTATTGCATCAGACAAACTTTATTCCAGTAACTCATCTAAAACGAATGTGTTGCTGCCTCTGAACCTGCCAATAAAAAGTACCTTGCTCATTAACTGATTTAGCAATGTGTCAGGCAGTAAGAGTGGCGTTCGCATTGTAAAGCTGAAACCTTTAACAGCCTGTGAAAATAAATTTGGGGTATGTACTTAGACACAAATGAGGAAACCTCTGAAACCATGCAGTGACTAATCATGAAGTTCCACTATGACAAGAGCTGATCAGACTGATAATGCAATGCATGCAAACTGTGAAACAAAATGCAAGAAAATTGAATTAAATGATCCGTAAAGATCCGTCATATTTGGCCGTTTGCTCTTTTAGTTAAAGGAGACCTCTAAGCGTCTGTATAGCCTATATGACATCCTTTTTTCTGTTCATTATCATATTGTTGGGCTGCGTGTCTATTTTTCTAACTTAGAATGCATTATGTTGGTTTGATTGCGTTTGTTACATGAGAAAATAAGTATTTGTCAACCCGATGTAGTAATTTGGGTGTTGTTTGGGTCGCGGTCTTAAAGGAGTAGTTCACTTTTAAAAAACTTTTGCTGATAATTTACATCCAAGATGTCCATGTCTTTCTTTCTTCAGTCGGTTTTTGATGAAAACATTCCAGGATTTTTCTCCATATAATGGACTTCAATGGGAACCAAACGGTTCAAGGTCCAAATGAGAGTTTCAGTGCAGCTTCAAAGGGCTTTAAACGATTCCAGACGATGAATAAGGGTCTTATCTAGCGAAATCGGTCATTTCAAAAATAAATCAATTTTTTAAAGTTTTATAAGCACAAATGCTCGCCTTGCTCTGTTCTGTGATGCGCGTTTGTGACTCTCCTGTTCAAACTTGTTCATCAAAATGAACAAATCTTTTTTGAGTCATGACTCGAAGGGTCCTTGATAAGACCCTTATTCATCGTCTGGTGTCGTTTGAAGCTGCACTGAAACTCTCATTTGGACCTTGAACCGTTTGGTTCCCATTGAAGTCCATTATATGGAGAAAATCCTGGAATGTTTTTATCAAAAACCTATCATTTCTTTTCAACTGAAGAAAGAAAAACGTGGACATCTTGGATGACATGGGGGTGAGTAAATTATCAGCAAAAGTTTTTTTAAAAGTGAACTACTCCTTTAATGTCAAACGGGTCTGGTATGAAATAAAATTAATGCTCCCATTGTACAATGAAATTCTGCAGGCAAATTCTCAAAGTAAATGTGAACGCACCAGTAGAAAGAAGAACTAGAGATGCACTGATATGAAAATTTTGTTAAAACTGATAATTCTTTATATTTAAAAGCCGATAGCCGATATATCGGCCAGTAAATCGTAATCCAATTTTTTTTTAGAAAAACAAATGTCTCACCATTAAAAGCCATGTCCCAAACACACTCATTATAATTTTATGTAACATATATGACAGACTGATCATAAATCCGGCAATTCATATCCATCATGTTGAAAGGAAATAATCCATTATTTCTCAGCTTTAAGATATATTCCTATTGGGCTTATAACGAAAACATTAAAAATGAACATATTCCGGACGATACCGATATGGTGGTTGATATATATCATGCATCCCTAGAAAGAACGTGGAAATCACTTTTATTATTTGCTGTGTGGTGTGGCCTTGTCGTTAGTTTATCTGTCCTGTAGTTGAAAGAAGTATTACTAAAGATTAGGCAGTTAAGTTCAGTTCTTTTTATAATAATATGTATAATAATAACGCTGTGTTTGCTCACAGGTAACAGCGCGGAGGCTGTGGAAGAATGTGTACGACGAGCTGGGGGGGAGTCCAGGCAGTACTAGTGCCGCCACATGCACACGCAGACACTACGAGAGGTAAACACACTTGCAATCTCAAACAAACCTAATGATTTGAGGTGTCTTGGTCATAACTAATGATCTTTGCAACAGAAGTGAATCACTTTAGCTGGACAATAACATTATTCAAGATCTGCTGTAAAGCCAAAACCATCTCTGTTGCTTTAATTTCCTATTATCACTGTACGCTGCTTTGAAACAATCAATGTTGTTAAAAGCGCTATATAAATGAAGGTGACTTGACTACAGTGCAGAACGAGAAGTTGCGATGAAAACTCTTACAAGCAAGACTAACTCACAATCTCTTTCTTTGTGCAGATTGGTGTTGCCCTTTGAGAGGCAACTGAAAGGAGAGGAGGACAAACCACTGCCACCCTCCAAACCTCGCAAACAGTACAAGAGGAGCCCTGAGAACAGGGGAAGTAAGCCAGAGAGCAAGAAGAAGAGGAAGATGGAGAGAGAAGAGTGCGAGGTGAGCGGAAAGAAATGCACTTCGATCAAAGAAGCTCTTTGTCAAATGAGAACTAGTGAGAAGTATGTGATGACGCAAACAGATTGTTGATTGATTCATTGAAGTGGACTGACTGAGCCAATTAAAGGGTTAGTTGAGTATTTTACACTTAAAGCCCTGTTTTAAGATCGTTTCTCAATAAATAGCACAGTTAAGATTGAAATTTGGACAACTGCTGCTGTCCCGAGAGTTGGGCTGTCCCCCTCACCCCCACAATGGTCGTCTATGTGATAGATAGATAGATAGATAGATAGATAGATAGATAGATAGATAGATAGATAGATAGATAGATAGATAGATAGATAGATAGATAGATAGATAGATAGATAGATAGATAGATAGATAGATAGATAGATAGATAGATATGATGCAAAAAGAGTCTTAGATAGATAGATAGATAGATAGATAGATAGATAGATAGATAGATAGATAGATAGATAGATAGATAGATAGATATGATGCAAAAAAGAGTCTTAGATAGATAGATAGATAGATAGATAGATAGATAGATAGATAGATAGATAGATAGATAGATAGATAGATAGATAGATAGATAGATAGATAGATATGATGCAAAAAGAGTCATAGATAGATAGATAGATAGATAGATAGATAGATAGATAGATAGATAGATAGATATGATGCAAAAAAGTGATAGATAGATAGATAGATAGATAGATAGATAGATAGATATGATGCAAAAAAGAGTCATAGATAGATGGATGGATGGATGGATGGATGGATGGATGGATGGATGGATGGATGGATGGATGGATGGATGGATAGATAGATAGATAGATAGATAGATAGATAGATAGATAGATAGATAGATAGATAGATAGATAGATAGATAGATAGATAGATATGATGCAAAAAAGAGTCATAGATAGATGGATGGATGGATGGATGGATGGATGGATGGATGGATGGATGGATGGATGGATGGATGGATGGATAGATAGATAGATAGATAGATAGATAGATAGATAGATAGATAGATAGATAGATAGATAGATAGATAGATAGATAGATAGATAGATATGATGCAAAAAAGAGTCATAGATAGATGGATGGATGGATGGATGGATGGATGGATGGATGGATGGATGGATGGATGGATGGATGGATGGATGGATGGATAGATAGATAGATAGATAGATAGATAGATAGATAGATAGATAGATATGATGCAAAAAAGAGTCATAGATAGATGGATGGATGGATGGATGGATGGATAGGTAGATAGATAGATAGATAGATAGATAGATAGATAGATAGATAGATAGATAGATAGATAGATAGATAGATAGATAGATGCGTAAAAGAGTCATAGATAGATAGATAGATAGATAGATAGATAGATAGATAGATAGATAGATAGATAGATAGATAGATAGATAGATAGATAGATAGATAGATAGATAGATATGATGCATAAAAGAGTCATACATGGCTGTTTAAGAAATGAAAAGTTACACACTCCATCAATGAGCTGTTGCCACACACATAATCACTGCAATAATGATCCAATCACAGACTCTTCAGCACTTGCCTATTTAAATCCCAACAGGGAGTTTTAGTGTATGTGTGTGACGATCCATCAGTCTGACGCATCTCACTTTCGTTCTCAGGACAAACTGGGATCAGATCATCACTGTGAGAGAGGCATGTGTTCCCATTCCAGTTCGTGGATGCCATCCTCCGACTCTGAGCAGCCGCCCACGGCTCCCGTCCACGGCCCCAGAGAGATCCCACTCCTTCAGACCCCCATCCCGGCTGAGGTGATCTCTCCCTTGGAGAAGAAGAAGCGTATGGCTCAGGCTAGCCTCACCATCCCTGCCTCTGGCTCCGTGGAAGACGGTACCGAACTGGAGAGACCCTCCGTTATCCACATATCCCTCTCAACCCAGTCTCCCGCCAACCCTTCCTCCACACGCACCCGACACTCCTCCGAAGGCTCGCCCCTTCCCGTCTCCTCTCCGTCTGACTCCTTGTCCCGAAGCCCGTCTCCTTACTCGGTCTCATCCGAGGACTGTATAGCCGTGACGACCCAAAAGTCTCCCGTCAAAGAGACCGGAAGTAAAACGCCTTCTCGTTTGCCAACTCTTCCCACATCCAAGCCTAGTAGCGCCGGAGTTTGCAAGCCTCTCGGTTGTTACCCCAACGCCAACAGCAAAGAACTTGCCAACTATCACCACTACCATTACCGGGAATACCTGCAAGCTGGCCAAACCCATCCCGATAAAACTCAACGGAGTCTTTTATGGACCTCGGATGGCAAATCCGCCACCAGACTCGCATCCCACAGGCTTCCCTCGCCCGTCTACACCAACGCCTGTTGGGTTCCTCGTGCCTCAAGCTTCTCGAAAGTCTTACCACGTGATCCCTGTAGGCTAACACCCAGTTTTAAGCCACACATGTCCTATCACCAGCACCTCCTAAAGAGGCCTACCTCCGATGAAGCCTATTTGAAGAAGATCCCAGTGTCCTCTCAGCTTCGCATGGCGACGGACAGAAAAGAGAAAGGAAAGACTATGTTGCCGAAGCCTCTTCCTAGTACCCAGCAGTACTTCTTCCACCCCCATGCCGGTTTAACAATGCCCTACATGCCAACCTCAGAGAGGTCCCGGGGAGACTTATCCGAACAGTTGAAGGCTCTTCAACCTGTACTTCTCCCAACACATCTAACAATACCTAACGCTCAGACCCACTCTATGCATTGTCCACCAGTGGGATCCCCCTTTCTTGGCTCTTATGAGGCATCTTTGCCTTCCTATCCTTACCCGTTTCCAATCTGGCATTCACCAGCTGGGTACAACATGACAGGCCTGCAGCCGTACTGAGCTGTTCTGAAACTTCTGGTCAAGACTTCTGTTGTCAACATGAAATCAAAACTGAACCTAGGACATATTTTAGCCATCAAGTCTTAAAATGTGATAACATGCTCATAGAGTCCCCCTGTGGTGAAAAGCAAGTTTTTATGTCAGTGTGGTGTTTTTAATATGCTTTAAGTATTTCCTCCTTAAAACTGCAGTGAACCAAAGACAAAGTCTTGAAATCAAACGACCTTGTAACCAATCAGATCAACGTGTGATCGTCAACCAGTGGATCTCTGAGCTGAGTGAGTGTGGAGGCGGGGCTCATTTGCATATTCATAGAACCGCATATACTAAATGAGGCAAGGGTGTCGAGTTACATTCTAAGGCATAATAATTATTTTAAACGGGAAAAACGTTCAAATATGTCATTTTGGTGATCAAAGATGAGTTTTAATGGATAAAGGATTGACTACGGGGGACTTTAAATTAAACTAACATGTGCTGGCTGTTTCATTTCCTGCACAAATGACTACAAACTCTGGAGTCCTTTTTCAAAATCAAGTTTCTGGATCATTTTACAAGAAGTAAAATGGGTTGTTAATTGTTTCATGTTGATTTTAAGACTAATGCCAACTGGAAGACTTGCATATGAGGTCCTGTAACTGGTAGAGCGTCACTTGCAGCACCATATTCATGGAATCGATTCCCAACAGCATACACACAATACTGGCAAAATGCCTCAGTGAATGCTTTGGATGACCAAATGCTGTGAAATGTAAATGGTACATAGTACACATGTTGACAAGTCTATGTAGCTATATCTGCTAAAGAGAATTGCTTTTTAGTTGAAGTGGAATAAGTGTACACAATATTTCAAGCCATTCATCTAACGAATCAAACTTACTTGTGTACGGTTCAGGGTCCTGAGTAAATTATCAATATTTTTACATTTTTATGAATCATTACCAAGGCCAGTCTGGCTCAAATTAGAATTTTCATATAAAGGGAAATCCTTCAAAATTGTATTTTTATGTTTTATCTTTATATTACAGTCTCAAGGTACTCGTCACATTGAAAAATGCACCGAAAATGTGAAAAATGTCTAATGTACAATTGTATACTGAATGTAAAAATATTTTTGTATAAAATAAATGTCAAGATCATGTCATGTGATTTCAATGAAAATATACTAGCAATGAGAAGACACATTATAAATGCTGAAAGACCACATTTATTTTAGATATATAAACACAGACAATTATTTTTAAGTACTTTAAAAATAGATGGAATGTAGTTTGAGTCCCACGCAGTAGGGAATGTAATTTCTTTGTCTACACATTGAAAAGTAAACACATCTGTAGACATTATCAACCTTGCAAAAATGTGCAAACTTGCGTTATAGTCGTCGTTTTTAAGCAACAGCTCATTCATGTAACAGAACAGGTAATGCATTGTCTTTTTGAGGAAAGTTTGGAAGTATCTGAGCCACAGTGAACAATAGGGTAGGCAAACTTTCTCATAATACAATGAAACATACATTCCAGGTAGGAAAACAATGCAGACTTGTACATTTCAGATTTGCAGAAAGCCAGTTTCTTGAAGTTAAATGTTAAGCAACCACAGAAAAAGAACTATGTCCCTATAAAAAGTGCAATTCTATTCTTGGAGATTGTGCGTAAGTCACACATCTATAGTGTTTGAGTCAGTATGGGAGTGTTAGTGCATGTTTCAGTGGGGTAACTCGTGTGGAACGAGTTTGTAGTGAGCGCCACAGGATGGGCAGCGCTGGGCTTCACCCTCATGCAACCAAAACCAAACCACTGCAGTGTTGTCTTCTTCACCTTCAAATACAAAGGAAGAAATAAATAAATCAGATAGGCGCATTTAGGCTTGTCTGAAGATCATCATGATGGCTCGTGCTAATAATATACATAATTGACAACAGCTTTACACTTCCCATCCACCTATTTTTTTAATGCACATTTTGGGATATTGCGTTTTGTAAAAAAAAAAAAAAGAAGAAAACACAAGATGCACATAAAAAAATGCATTAAAAAAGCTCCAGAAGCATTGCAGCATGTTTCAATACTCACTAATGTGAGATAAGGATGAACTTGTCTAGAAAAATGTCTAAACTGAAATCAATATTTTAATTTCACTTACAAACACAGCCAACAATCCTCTTGTTGGTTATGGAGGGGACGATATGAGGGTCTTGTTTGGAGCCTGCGTACTCCTTCGGTTTTAAGATGTTATATGGATCCTGGAGGAGAAGAGCAGCATTGGTTCTCCTGAACTCATATTACAGCTCTCTTTATTTTACCGCTAAACACAAGATACTTGCCAATCCTTCCTTGGAAGCTTTCAACACGATCTTCTCCAGACCGGTGGCCTGCTCATCATCTGTGGGAATGCCTGAACAACACAAAATCACATACTATTAATATTACAGAGTTATTACTGCCCCTCATAAAGACATTTATATTTCTGCTAGTACTATAGTCTTTAAGTGACTGAAATGATTTTAGCCACATATAGACACACACATTTTAACTATTTAAGTCCACTTGAAAGAAATGATTTACAGGGACATAAATACAATAGATGTAGTCAAATACACACACACACACACACACACACACACACACACACACACACACACACACACACACTTGCATCCCATGCTATTATTGTTATTATTCTACAAACTAGCCTGATCTATTTCCTGCAAGGGCGACTAAGACTAAATAGGATGACAGCGATTAACAGGATTAGACATCAGTAGGAATTCACTGACAACTCTGTAATGAGGAAATAACGATGAAGTCGTTGCGAGAATTTGATAACAAAAATATTTCGTAAAGAAGATGAATGTTTATTTGAAGCGATGGGACAGTGACGCATTTACTGTCGATCTAAGCTCTATTCAGTTCCAACACACAAACAAAACAAAACCATTGATGGACCAGTACCTCCAGATGCCAGTCTCCTGATGGCAGCTTGAACTGGGACAGGCCGACGGCTGTAAACAGCAGCACGGATCGCTGATCTCAAAAGGAGTCTGGCCGCCATTCTTTCTCACAGACACACTGCGCATGCGTCGCAGCTTATACTCGCTCCGTGCACCAATTGAAACACTGCGCATGCGTCACAGCTTTAAAATATTAAAGCTAAAAACTTCTATTAGATATCCCGCTACTGACAGTTTTTTCAAGTTTCTAAAAGTGTATTTTTATTTTTACTATTGAAAATTGCATTAGACCCATTAACAGCTAAATTTGCTCGATTTAATAATACATTTAATCATTAAACGTACAGTATGTACATTAATGCACAATAGACCATTAGTTTGTTAAAAAAAAAAACGTTTATAGGCTAGATAAAAAAATGTCATAAAAACTAACACTTAACATACACTTTAAAGTTATTAGTAAAAAAAAGTCCACTTTCCCCATTTTTTCATACTAAATAAAATTTTCATTATTTTTAACTATGTGATGTGATTATCTAAATGCAGTTAAAGTTGTACCCAGGTCCAATCAAAGCGCAATACTAAAGTTTACATATACAGTTGCTTTATCACAGTTTTCATAATAGACTTCAGTCAAAGACTGATCCTAGATCAGATACTACAGTTTTATTGTGCTGTGTTGACATGATCACAGTACGCTTCTGAAAAGTGCTTTTATCTAGAGAAGCTGATGAGATCAGGAAATTCTTATGTAAAGCCTGACATTCCTAGTGTTTGCATTGTATTAGTTGAGATTATTTATGACGTTGTTTGTGTCTTTAGCAGCAACAGCTGTCTAGTACACACTGTGGCATTCATAGATATACATAATAAAGCCTTTCATTATGTATATGCTGCGCGCTCACTGACTGAAACACTGCGCATACGCCACAGCCGCTGCGCGTCTACGCAAATAAAAGCGCAATGCTGACATCTAGCGCTCGGGACGACAAGCGTTCTGGGAAAAAGACAGGAAAAAATATTTTATTTTGATCTGAAAAGCTCGAAATTGGTTAATTCATAAAAACAACATATTAAAAATACATATTTGTATTATTATTTATTAAACAACAATAGGCTAAGTAACCGACAAAAATCACTCAAAACTGACTGAAAGTTACAGTCACCATATAAAACATATAATATGTAAAAAATACACATAACATATAGGGGTCTGATTCACAATGATCTTATATACACACACAATTATGCGCACACAGTGACCTTAAATAAAGTGTCCACATTGCAGAATTGTTGAATATGACTGATGCAAGATTTCCTAATAAAATAGGCTACCAGGATAGCAGCATGTGGCACTGGAGAAAAATATCAGGATATGAACATCACTGTCACAAAGAAATGGAAAACAGTCTATGCACCTTGTCAGATTTCACAAAATATGAATTTTCACAATCTCTTCGATTAAGAACTGTAATTATTTATTGTTAACTATAAAACATATAAACTATAGAGCTAGAAAGAAAAAGAACATTTGACACAAAACGACAGGCACGTGAGCTTTATTTTAGGGGCGCAATGCGCAGACCTGCGCCACTTCAACCAGCTTGAGGACGCGGTGACATCATCGCTGCGTCATTTTGTTGTTTTTTGGCGCGAAATTCCCTATGAGAAGTTTCCGCAATGATCGCGCATGAGGATGTAAACAGCAGGAAGTTTGGGATTTCATTTCGCTGTTTTTCGCACTGAAGTTTGATTTTCCGGAACGCTGATTCTCTGACGACAGACCTAAACGTGCTCTGGCCGAAACTCCTGCACTTTACATTGAGTGTTGTTGGATTGTCACAGTGTTACAGTCACAATGTCAGACGCCAGTGATCTCAGTGGAGGAGAGGAGAGCCAGGAGGACGTGTTGACCCCAGCAGAGCTCATCGCCAAACTGGAGGAGGTCAGACAGCTCGAACAATAACACACACACACACCGTGAAATGAGTTTTCATGCATGCTCACACTGCAAAACAGTGATGTTCTTACTCTGTATTTTTGTCTTGTTGTAGTACTAACATTCTTAAATCAAGATACATTAACTTCAGAAGCAGAACGAGTCAGAACAGAACAAAAAGTATTGTATACCACTGAAAAATGCATGCTTAAAAAAGTAAACTAGTCAAAAAGTTTCGTTTAACTTATTTTTCTAAACCCACTTATAGATTTTTTTTAATTTTTAAAGGTGCAGTAAGCGATTTCTGAGAAACTGAGAAACAAACACGCCCCTACCGAAAAGGATCACACCCCTTTTTGATCTTGATAGCCTCGCCCCTAAATTCACGAACGTGCTATGCAGAACAGGCACCTCCACCTCAATTGTGGACACGCCCCTTCATGCTGATTGGCTGCATATTTTGGTGCTCGGTCTGATCGATTTTCAACAGAAATCGCACCTTTAAGCATAAGTAAATGTGTCTTGATTTAAGAATGTCTAGATATTGATATAAGTTTGTAATAAAATAATAAAAATATAATGATATATAGATATGTAGTGTAAAATAATAATAAAAACACATTAAACACATTTATGAAATGACACAAAAGGAAATTAGTTGGGCTATTTAGTGACCAAAAATTTTATCAGGTGCATCCTGGGATTATTTTGAACAATTGGAGGAAAAACCTGTAGAATGAAATTCTTATGTTGACACATATTTGTGCACATATTTTTATTTATTTATTTTTTTTGTCTACACAAAACTTATTTTAATCATTTAGGAATTAACACCAGAATTTTTTTGGAAAACATGGATTAATTTCGGCGCGCTTAAATTTCGATAAAAATGTATTGTTTAAGTGTATAGAAACATATTGTTTAAAGAGTGCTGCACATTATGGGAATAAACCATTTTAAAAATTAATGAATATGAGATGCAGGCCGTTTTAATGTATTCTTGAGTATTTTTCTGGAAACTAACTATTTTTTTAATTTTATTTTTAAATGGAGATCCATGTTCTGAATAGCCATGTTATACTAGAGGTTCTGGCAAAATTTGAATAGCTGCAGTCTATTTAAAAAAAATTTTTACTTTCTATCGCTTGCACGTTACTATAGCTTCCGTAGACATCAGTGTTTATATCTGAAGTGTAAGCTATCATCCCAGTTCTTATCTGATAATATGAATATTTGTAACACAAATAATGATACTGTGTGGATGAAAAGGCTTTTTGTGAATTATTTCATACAGCGCTGCTTAAAAATGTACACACCTCTTGCAGAATCTAAATTAGACGCATCATATAAAATGCATGTTATATTTTTATTTAGTACTTTCCTGAATAAGATATTTTACATACAATATTTTCATATAGTTCGAAAGAAAAAAAATGCTGAATTTATAGAACTAACTATTAAAAAAGAAAAGAAAAAATGAAACCACTATTAAAAAAGGTTCACACATTCACTGATGAAAACGCATTGTGTAAATGTATTTAATAATATTTTTTTCATTTAGTAATGCCCTTCAGAAGTAACAGAAGATACATGTTTCCCGGAAGGCAAATTATGTACAATTTAACCTGATCTTCAAATTCAAAAGTTTTCAACCCGAATTGTTTAGGAATGAGATCCCGTAGGTGTTTGCATCGAGATCGCAGTCTTTTACCGATTAATCGTGCAGCTCTATGAGACGCATGCGTTCTGGAATAGTGTTTTCTAATGTGTGTCGATCGTTCTCCTGTGTTTCAGGCTTGGCTTAATGAGAAGTTTTCTCCAGAACTGTTGGAAAACAAGTCCGAGTTGGTGGAGTGTGTGATGGAGCAGCTCACACACATGGTAATTCATCCGTGTTCAGTGTTTGGTGAAACATTCTGTTATATTTAGGTAGTTGACAAATAACATTTGTATACAAAATAACTTTTTTTTTCTTTTTTAACATTAAGCTTTTAGATTAAAGGGGAAGGAAAATGTGTGCTGGTAACCAACCATTTTCAAAAAATGTACTTACTTCTTAGCTTTTAGTAACTTCACTTAAAAATATTTTCCACTTGAATTAAAAAACATGAGTACATAACACAGTTGTGTAATAGCAATTATTTAATAGAATTTGAAATGGTATTTAAAGGTGCAGTAAGCGATTTCTGAACAGCGCTGTTGAAAGTGGATCTGACCGAGCAGCAAAACAGACTTGTAGGCAATCAGCTGTAGGGGGAGTGTTTACTCATGATGGGAGAGGAGAGTGAGCCAATCAGCTGCAGGGGGCGTGTTCACTCATGATGGGGGAGGAGAGAAAGCAATCAGCAGTAGGGGGCGTGTTCACTCATGATGGGAGAGGAGAGAGCCAATCAGCTGCAGGGGGCGTGTTCACTCATGATGGGGGAAGAGAGAGAGCCAATCAGCAGCAGGGGGCGTGTTCACCAATGATGAGATTTGAAGAAAGACTAAAAAGAGAGATGGCTGAGACAGAAACAAGTAGTAGAGTAAAAAAAAAAAGTAGAGTAAATTAATTAAAAGATTTATTTTTAGTGTTTTTAATTTTAATTGTACAATTTGTACTAATGATCAGGCAAGAGCTTTAGGACTCGCGTTAATATTAGAAAGCTTTCCAGTGCTGCAGAGACTGAAGCTCTTGCATTGTGTGTTTGTGCATTTTGAGTTGATTTCACATGTGAACAGTGCTTCTCAGAAATCACCTACTGAACCTTTAAAATAGTTTTAGATGAAGTATAGCATGAAATGTAGCCTTTATACTTGTGTATGCAGGAGGAAAACCTCCAGAGGGTGAGGAAAGGTGATGTGAAAGCCAGTGTCCATCGCATGGAGATCGATCGCATCCGCTTCGTTCTGAGCAGCTTTCTGCGCTCAAGGCTCCAGAAGGTATCCTGTTACTTCAGAGTCAGCCGTTTATCTGTTGCATTTATTCTAAATGACTTACAGTAAGCGTATTATACATACATCTCAGGAGTAACCTCTCGCTCAAGCATACAGTAGTGATAGTTAAAGAGCTGAAGGGTTTGAGCCCAGAACCTTTCAGTTACCAGCCCAGAAGCAAACACTTTAGATAGAAACAGACGGTGCACTCGTATCACTGTGAATGAGATGCGCAAAGTGGTGAAATAAGCCCCGCCTTCTAAGTCAAAGGTGCTGTATGCGATTTTTAGCGGCCTCTAGCGGTGATGTTTCAGAATGCAACAAGAGCGCTAGTGCTCGTGCTCGTGTGCGTGCTAGATCTCAAGAGCGAGCATTCACTACCGGCCACACGGAGACTATCAACGCAACGGGGAAATAATCACACAACATGCTGGAAACTCATGTAAACTCCCACTGCAGGTACAATAATAGCTTACTTTTATCAGCTTGACGTTGAACTAATGCTCTGTGCTCGTACCATGATCATAATGTTACAATAAACTGCATTTAGCCGACATGTGATGATATCAGCCATTTCACTGACTAGTCGTGTATCTTTCACAATCACCAATGTCAACACAGGTGAATGTATAATATGAATACTAAACTGAACAGTTTCAGTGTATCAGTAAGATCGTAGGAAGTAACATTACTGTACTGAACGTGTCTGTGTATTATAAACAATATGATAGATGAGTGACGTTAGTCAGTAGATCTAGTAAATAAAATAAGTTACATCCTAAAGCACCGACTTTTTGTTATCCTGGAGCATTCTTTTGTATTCATGTCATGTTTCATGTAGTTTACCTTGCTGTTTCACTTGAGTTTACTATGTTGATCCGCGTTTTCGTCCGGAGTCGATCAGATTCACGTTTTGCCTGACGAGCTTCAGCAGATAAAACTTTTTTGTTTTTTATATTTATGTGGAGTTTGTGTTGGAGTCTGTGTTGGACGTTTTGGGGGGTTATCAGACTCCATGTCGTCAGCTGAAGTGCCATTGGTCGCATGGTTGACTGTATAGAGACTGGATAGAGACATGGTTGACTGGATAGAGAGGCTCGGGAGCACGCATGCACGTCACATCTGAGGGGTGTCGTCCATCTTTTTTACAGTCTATGGTTTTACATAAGTTTCAGTAAATCGAGGAAAAGGAGCCTTCGTCAGATTTGGAAGTCACTCAAAAGGCTGTTTCGTGGTTGTTGCTTTAGTCAACTTTAGTGAGGCGCGGTGCTTTATGGGATGAGTAGTTTCTTTGCTTGGAAATGAAAATACGTACACAGGCTTCTTGTACCTTTGACTTTTTTTGGATTTTCTCTTCGTTTTTTTCACTTGAAATGATATGTTGTGTGCTTATGAGTTCAGCCGTAGCTGGTTATCCCCAGAAATGCTCTAAAACTCTTTAGATGCGGATTTTACAAAATGTCAATGGGAGAAATGAATGGGAAATTTACTTCCTGCTATAGTGAAACTCTCATCTAAAATTTTGATCCACTCATCCAAAGTTTCCCAAAACCCGTGAGATTCCACACAATGCAGTATGGATTGTTTTTATGACTGGATTCTGCATTTCCGTACTTGTATATACATATGATTGTTGTCTCATCTGCAGATAGAGAAGTTTTTCCCTCATGTATTGGAGAAAGAAAAGTCGCGTGCGGATGGAGATCCTTCGTTTCTCTCTCCTGAAGAGTTTGCCTTCGCGAAAGAGTGAGTGAGCTCTGAATCCTTTCTATCTCTGGTTTAGCACTAACAGATACTGTCCATGGAGTTTAACTGGTCTTGAAGACAGAATATAATGTTGTGTGTGATTTTCGCCAGTGTGTTTGTCCTATAATTCCCAGAACGCCTGTGTTGTTTGTATAGGTATCTGGCCAACACCGAGGTTTATCTCCAAGCCGTGGCTCTGAAACACATGCCTCCAAACCTGCAGAGCATTGACATGCTGAAGGCCGGTGAGAAACTGCTCGTTGCTTTCAATGCTGTACACCTGGCCACTTAATAAGCTTTATGGCCATATTTTTTTTTTAAAACACTGGTGGGGAAAGAGTTAATGTTTTAAAGCAACACTAAATAAGGTTTTTTCCCTTAAAATAATGTTTCCAAAATGGTTTCAGCTGTTCATCAAGTTGTAACGGGGTGAAAGGCACTTCTGGATCCTGTATCTGCTATCACCACTAGAGCCAGGCCGATATTATCGGACGATATTAGGCATTTTCCAAACTATCGGTATCGGCAGTTATAATGGCTGATAAAAGAATATTTTAAAAACAAAACAAAAAAACGGAGGAAACACGCTTGAACCATGAGTGTTGGAGTTGTATAGTTTCATGTATAGTAATCATGAGTGTTGGAGTTGTATAGTTTCATGTATAGTAATCATGAGTGTTGGAGTTGTATAGTTTGTCCACCAGAGGGCACTCTACACCGTCCCTGTTGGCAACACTCGTTGAGTTGGTCACGAGACATACATTGCTTGAATAACAATTAAAAGAACATCCCCATCAGTTCTCTTAACTCAAAAAAAATTTGTGACCATCATGTCCAGTTTTGTTGCTGTTAAATAAGCCGAGAGTGAAGCGGAATTAGCTAGTAATAGTTACGTTATGTTGTTACAGTGTAGTCCTTTTAACTTTAGACGAGGTGACTGAAGAATTTCTTTAATAGCGCGTGACAGTTACAGCAATGAGACGTATCATCTCTCCTCGGCCTGTTATATTGAAAATGTATGTTTTACAATTTGTTGCGCGTTTCTGAAATAATAATTTTTTTTAAAAATTATCGGCCGACATATCGTAATATCGGATTTTAAAACCAATAAATATTTGTATCGGTATCAGACTTCAAAATCCTTTATCGGTCGGGCTCTAATAACCACGCTATGTAAGCTGAGTCGCGTTTCTGTAGTTCTAATGAGACACAATGAGAGAACTACAAATTTGACTTGCTTTACGTCAAGCGTTACAATAGTCATTATTTAGTTTTTCTTCGTTTCTGATGTTGCAATACATCATACTTTCATGAAATCATGCAACTTACTCTACCTCGTCTGTGGACATCGTTCATTCCAAAGCCGGTGCCGGATAAACAACGAGCGCGCTTGTGACAGTAGGATGCGCTAGGCTAAATTATTTAAAACAGCGTTAATGGACAATTCCACTTCCAACCTGTAGGGCGACCGCAGAGGAAAAGTAACATGGTGTTGCTTTAAAATGTAAATTTAATACTGCATTTTTCAGTTATTGAGTTTTACTAGCCAGAAAATACTGGACTAGTAATCATTAAAAATCATTTTAAAATAATTAAAAATCAAGTAATCATTAAAAAATAAAATAATAAGTAATCATTTTAAATCATTTTAAAATAATTTCACATGATTTTATAATTGCAATTATAAATTTGGGGTAATTTATTTGAATTATGTTTTACTGTGAAAAATCAGGTTTCCTCGGCCAAAGTCAGTTGTATAAATGTTACAACTAGATGATGATGATGATGATGATCTAAATTGAGTAAATTTAACAGGCCAGAGTATGTTGAAGGTGTGCACATATTTATGCAGTTTACTTAAAAAAAAAATAATCCTGATGTGCATGGTGTGTAAACAACAATGATCCGCAAAGCATATGCAATACTGTTCAGAAGTTTAGGGTCAATAAGATTTTTTTTAAAGTAATTAATACTTATCTTCAGCAAGGACAAATCTACGGAGGCGTATTGCATTCACTTGAAGAAAAAAAATCTACTCTGTTTTTCTGAATTAACGAGTTAATTTTTCATGAGAAAATTTATTTTTGCTGTTTTTCTGAATTAACTCATTAATTCAGAAAAACAGAGCAAAAAAAAAAAAATTCCATGAAAAATTAACTCATTAATTCAGAAAAACAGAGCAAAAATTTTTTTTCTCATGAAAAACTAACTCGTTAATTCAGAAAAACAGAGCAAATTTTTTTTTCTCATGAAAAATTAACTCGTTAATTCAGAAAAACAGAGTAGATTTTTTTTCTTCAAGTGAATGCAATACGCCTCCGTACAAATCAGTGTGAATGTGCTTACTTTTAAGTTGTTACCAAAAAATGCTGAGATTTCTATTCATAAAATTACAAATTATGAAGCAACTCAACTGTTTTCAACATCGATAATAATCAGGAATATTTCTTGAGCAGCAAATCAGCAAATATGGGATTTTTAAATTAAATTAGTGTTTCTACTGTATTTTTGATCAAATAAACGCAGCCTCGGTGAGCAGAAAAGACAACATTTTGAATCTCCACTGTTGGAGTTGGTTATAGTGGAAGCTGTATTGGAGTAATTGCAGATGTTTGTCAGTGGCAGTGATTGATTCGTTGGTGTTTGTGTGTGAAGTTCCTGAGCCGTGTCTCGACTCGTTCGTGTTCCTGAGAGTGAAAGAGAGGCAGGAGAATATCCTGGTGGAGCCGGAGACGGATGAGCAGAGGTATTAACAACAGCATTTACATTCTGCATGGTACACACTCTTCTAGTCCAAAAAAGACAACACAATTGAAGAGTTCAGATGCAAAATCCTCTTTGGATTGTGCCATTTGAAATTTTCCATTGAAAAATGCCATTTGAAATTTTCTTCTTTAATGATGATTTTTATCAAACTTGTACATTTAAGTTCAGTAATTTCACTTAAATAACAATTATTAGGTAATTATCATTGCCATTTAAGTGAAATCACTGAACTTAAATATACAAGCTTGATAAAAATCATCATTAAAGAAGAAAATTTCAAATGGCACTTAGAGGCTTTTGCATCTGAACTCTTCATTTATGCTTTTAAGATACTTCATTTTGGCCAAATGTAAAAGCAGCCTCAGTCTTTCATAAGGATCAGAGAATAAGCATTGAAGATGACTATTATGCTTTTTTCGGTAACACTTTACAATAAGGTTCATTTATTAAACATTAGTTGATGTATTAACTAACATGAACTAACCATGAGCAATACATTTGTTACTGTTTTTGTTAATCTTTGTTACCGTTAGTTAATACAAATCCAGCTGTTCATTGTTTGTTCATGTTAGTTCACAGTGCATTAACTAATGTTAACAAGATTTTAATAAAGTATTAGTAAATGTTGAAATTAACATTAACAAATGCTGTTGAAGTATTGTTCATTCTTAGTTAATGTTACTTAATGCAGTTAACCAATGAACCTTATTGTAAAGTGTTACCCTTTTTTCCATGTTCATCTTTCTGTAGTGTGTAATGTCCCTGTTTGAGAATGAAAAAGCTCTGTATGAGTGTCAGTGTTTCTGAACTCCTGAAACGCCTCCATTGTAGTCTTGAGTTTCTTCCGGTAACAAACACGTCACCACAGTATATTGCTCATTATAATAATTAATACGCAGAATTAAGGGGCGGGGCCTGGTTGAGTTAGTTAGTAGTGTGTTAAACTGGTGGTTATGGGAAGGAGCGGGACAATTCCAAAAAAACACACTCGAAGCGCTCAACCAATCCAACGCATTCTCATCCTTTAACGTCATATAGAACGCTATATGACAAAACGGCGCTATACTACTATATTATACTATCGTTAATATAACACGCGCTGTGAGGGCTAAGTTTAGGTGTGGGGTAGGGTGTGCGTGTCATATTCACGCTAAAGGATTTATAACGTCTTGGGTTCGCGTGTTATATTAACGATACAATAAACTTTGACCTGTAAGTTGATGATCACACTTTTCCTTTTCGGACATAAATACTATTTTTGGCAATTTGTGGACATTTCAAGGTTTTTGTCTGACAGCAACGATATTTCAAAGGTAAAATTTTAGGGATCCATCCATTAAAAAACCCATATTGATTGACCATTAGTCTGATAATCCAATAATGTGGTTATAGCCTAGTTAAATTATGGTCACATTAGCTAAATTTAGATTTAGCTCAGACAGATATTCACACAGAAACCAGCCTTTTTTTAAAGCTTTTTCTTATCATTAAGTTCTGTGTTTGGTTACGAGACAAAAGCTCTGATCCAAAAAACATTTTACCGTTGCACAAAATCCAGTCATTTTAATCGAAATTCATTCGCTTGAGAGCGAAAGTTTTCCCAATGCAGATTTTGCAACGGTAAAATGTTTTTGGATCAGAGCTTCTGTCTCATAACCAAACACAGAACTGAATGATTATGAATTATAAAATGGCTTTGAAATGCTTTTGGTTCATGATTTTCTTCTCAACATGACGTGTTCTCCTATAGGGGGCAGCATTTCTTTCGTTTTAATGAGCTGGTTGAGATCGTAAAGCAATATAAATATGAACTCATAACAGTATTTCTCTGCTATTGTCTCTTTCAGGGAGTACGTTGTGGACTTGGAAGAAGGTTCGCAGCACTTGATGCGTTACCGTATTATAGCGCCTCTAGTGGCCAGCGGTGCAGTGCAACTTATTTAAACCCGGAACAGAATGAAGATCGGTGAATGAAGCCCGTCTGTGAACGTCCATGTCCCAGCACCATGAAACTGGTGTAAAAGCAATATGGAGTAAACATTCTTCAATGTGTTCTGACAGATGCATTTGTTCAGAACACAGTACTGTATATACTCTTGGCCAAAGACACTCTGAATGATCTTGGGTTATTGCAAACTATCTGCAATATTTCGTCACATATCGACAGCTCAGTTATTGCAGTCTGATTATAAACTAGTGAACCTGACGCTTATGAAATGGAAACTGTGGTTTTCTCTGTAAATGGGAAGTTGATGGGTTGGATGTGATCATTTAAATGGTCACTGGGGTTTTGCTGGCATGCTAGAATAAAGTTGTAGTATTTATGTTTCTATATTGATCATGTTTTTGTGTGTTGTTTTAATATCGTGCCACCAGCTAGAGCAATGAGACTTATGACATACTGTATCTGTTAAAGTAAATAAGTTTGTAAACAATAATTATGGGATATTATGACGTCAGTTGCCATTGAAAATTATTTTTTATCAGTTCTCGGTTTGTGGAAAATCACATTTACATTGAAATACACATTCAGTAAAACTTTCAATTAATGCACATCTTGATGGATATGAATGTTGTGATGTTATTTCCATCAATAAGTGCATCAGTTTTTGGTCAAGATCTTGTATTGACAAAGCAAGAGTCCAGTTTCCTCCAGCACATCCCAAACACTTTCAATGAATTTAAGATCTGGACTCAGAGGAGACAATGATTCTTCAACCATTCCTTCACAATCTGAGCCGGATGAATGTTGACATTGTCCTCCTGGAATATGAACATGATGAGTCTTCATACATGGTTGTTTAAGAAATGAAAAGCTACACACTCCATCAATGAGCTGTTGCCACACACAATAATCACTGCAATAATGATCCAATCACAGACTCTTAAGCATTTGCATATTTAAATCCAAACTTGACTTTTTTTTTCGAGCCGGCAGTGTGTGTTCAAAGAATTTCAAAACTGAATATTGTAATGTTTATTTCTCTTCCTCCATTCTAAATGCCTTCCTAACATGCATGAACTTTAATAACAATAAAAATCATATTTTAAAAATAATCGTATTAACCCTATAAAGCCTGCTAAATCATATTTAATACATGAATTCCCACATAAATTATCAACATGGTCAAAACTTTGCTGTAAAACCAGTCGCACATAATCTACAACATGCCTTCTGTCGGCTGATTGATAGTTTAGACTTTTTTTCTAGCAAGTAAACGGTATTTTAGTAATAATTTAAAAAATGTCCGCACCTTCAGGTCATATTTTCCTGTGAAATCTTTACTGATTATACTGACCTTTGCTAAGAAGAATAAAACGAAGCATTTAAATATAATCTCAATAAGACGCTATTGGGACATATGATGCACTGTAAAAAAAAATATTGTTGGTTTAACTTAAAAAAAAATAAGTAACCTGGTTGCCTTAAAATTTTAAGTTCATTGAACTGGAAAAAGTGAGTTAATACAATGAAGGAGAATGATTTAATCATCAGAAACTCAAAATTATTTGTTATCTTAACTAAATAAATTATTTAAGTTGATTTGACAAAAGAAAACATGTTGTGATTACTACACTGTAAAACAAATATTGTTGGTTTAACTTAAAAAAGTAAGTAACCTGGGTTGCCTTAAAATTTGAAGTTGATTGAACTGGAAAAAGTGAGTTAATACAATGAAGGAGATTGATTTAATCATCAGAAACTCAAAATTATTTGTTATCTTAACTAAATAAATTATTTAAGTTGATTTGACAAAAGAAAACATGTTGTGATTACTACACTGTAAAACAAATATTGTTGGTTTAACTTAAAAAAGTAAGTAACCTGGGTTGCCTTAAAATTTGAAGTTGATTGAACTGGAAAAAGTGAGTTAATACAATGAAGGAGATTGATTTAATCATCAGAAACTCAAAATAATAAGTTATCTCAACTAAATAAATTATTATAAAGTTGATTTGACAAAAGAAAATATGTTGCGATAACAAATCTTGAAAATATTTTTTACAGTGTGACGACTGATTTATATGCATTTTACGTCAATAGTCTGTTATAAAGATCTCATTGATTTACATTACATTACATTCTTTTTGGCCATATAAACATCATATTTGAGCCCCTGAGAACATCAATATACTGTATCATAAGTTGAGTTCTGATGAAACCAGACATTGCAGTAAGTGATGCCCTGATCTCACCTTGTGAACCGACTCTGGCTGATAATTGCCTAATCTCCGCAATACACCAGTTGCTCCATATCCCGTCCGACTCTCTTTAACACGTCTCGCGTGATGTACGTGATCGTTCCTCCGTGTGTGTGAATTATTAACCTGTGATTATGTGTATAGTGGCTTCACATGTTGAAACCTGTATACAAGCCTGAGCCAGTATTCAAAATATGTTTATTGCTGTTCCAGTATTATGAAATGTGTGATTCACTGAAGCCTTGTACACATATGAGAGTCTCATCTAGTGACATGATTCACATCATGGAAATGTGGCCAAGAAACAGTGTAACTGTTTTTTACTGGTATAGAGTAATTTAGTATGTAGGTATATTAGTGTGCTGTAGATTATATATACATAGTATTTAGACAAATTCAAGTGACCAACTTTCACTGATCAATTAAAGATTCCAACATGACATCATGACTTTTGCGTAAACATACACGCCACTTTCAAGTCAAGTGGCGTGTTATCTATACGCATTTTGAGCTATCCGCGTGTATGTCTACGTCGTTAAATGTCCGAGTGATTCCGCGTGTATGTACACGCCGTTAAATGTCCGAGCGAAACGAAGCAAAATGTAGATCTACATCTTGAGGGCGATATTTTTTTTTCCTAGGATGGTAGGGGAAGACTCATGAATGGTATTAACCCCAGTGACGGGGTAGGTCATATTTTTATATATACAGTAATGTAATGTTAAGTCAACGGCGTTCATAAACACGCTGAAAATCGATTATGCGTGTTGATAGCACGCCAAAAATGGAAATATGAATTGGCGAGTCATCCATACCCCATTTCATGAGATCAGTCTGCTGAAGCTAAGCAGGGTTGAGCCTGGTCAGTACCTGGATGGGAGACCTCCTGAGAAAACCAGGTTGCTGCTGGAAGAGGTGTTAGTGACGCCAGCAGGGGGCGTGGTCTGTGTGGGTCCTATAACGCCCCAGTATAGTGATGGGGACACTATACTGTCAAAGAGCACCGGCCTTCGGATGAGACATTAAACCGAGATGACTCTCCGTGGTCATTAAAAATCCCAGGATGTCTTTCGAAAGAGTAGGGGTGTAACCCCGGCATCCTGGGCAAATTTCCCCCTTGGCCTCTGTCCATCATGACGTCTTAATCATCCCCATAATCTGATTGGCTTCATCACTGTCTCCTCTCCACCAGTAAGCTGGTGTGTGGTGGGCGTTCTGGCGCAATATGGCTGCCGTCGCATCATCCAGGTGGAGCTGCACATTGGTGGTGGTTGACGAGATTCCCCTCTTCCATATGTGAAGCGTTTTGAGGTCCCAGAAAAAGCGCTATATAAATAATAAATTATTATTATTATTATCTGACCATGACATCAAAATGGACAATTCCTCGGTTTTATGGACTATTGCAGTATTTATTATAATACTGCCTATGTTTTTAAATTCATGTTTCTGGTAATCTTGAATCGGAATAACTCCCTTTTGCAGCATCTCTTCTCTTCTCTGATGACGAGGGCGGGGCAATAACCTGTCAATCACTTGAGATCAGGAAAGTGCAAACCACAACCATCCAATCAATTTTCCCATAGACAAAATCAAGCCCCGCCCACATTTGCTCTTGTTCCAGAAGCCGTTTCACTATGATATACGTCACGATGGAGAAGAAAAGACTGTCGCAACTTCCGTTTCATGCCGAGAATTAGTTTTGATTAGCTTTTGAATACTGTAATCGATCGGGGCGAGCCTTGGTGACGTTAGGGTGGGTACTACCATCCCTCGCTACGACTTAGGGTTTGGTCTGACCGATCCCTTTTAGGGAAGAATGCTGATTCTGTGGTACGCACTTCAACACCAAATCAATTTGAACCGTTTTTGTCTAAACATTGAAAGCCAATGGGGTCCAAAACAACACTGGACCTAATTGATTTGTACAGACAAAAACAAAAAAACACTGAAAACACAAAATATCTTTTGTGTTCTGAAGAAGATATAAAGTCATATAGGTTTGGAAAGACTTTTCATTTTTCAATCACGTTAAAGGACATTTAATTAGAAATTGATGAGCATTGTTGTTTCTTTTATCACTACTTTACCACACCCAGGGTTCACTGACGTCAATAAATGAACCTCTTTGGTAAAGTTGGGATTTTTTTTTGCATCTGCCACAGCTTCCGATTTCACACTGGCTTCCTTTAAGCGACAGGAACCCACACTGTCCATCATTAGTACTGGCATAAACCATAGAGAACTGTTCATCTGTTTCCACAAAACTAGGTCACAATACAGCTATTGGCTAATGCATTGTGCAAATATACTGGAATGAATAGTGAAGTCTAATGTTATGAGGCACAGGAAGTCCACACATCCACCAATTGTCAGGAAACAATTGTTAAAGGGTAACTAAACACCAAAACAACTTTTTTTAGTTAATGATCTGTAAGAATGGAGCTTCATAAATGCTGTTCATTGATTCAAGTACATTTTTTGACAATTGAGTATAAAGTGTTTTGATTTTCAAATATATGGTGTAAAAACGTCTGAGTGCTGCCCTCTTCAGGTTAAACGGAAAGCTCCTGCAGTAGGGGTACTTTCTGACGTAGCGAACTCTCAGACGCCACTCTGTCACATCCTTGGTGCGAGCTCACCACGCCCTTGGCAGCCCCTGGTATAAAAGCATCTGGTTCCGTCAAAACTACTGTAGCGAGTCAGGAGTTGGATTTATGAATATTGAAAACGATCAGGATAGCATATATTAGCATCTAGTTAGCATAGCATTTATATAGTTATTTAGATTATTTTTGAAAACAATCAGGATAGAGTATTGTTGCATCTATTTAGCATAGCATTATATAGATAATTTAGATTATTTTGTGCTCTATTAGCATAGTACAGTTAGGATAGCTTCAAGTTAGCATAGATTTATCAGTGTTTAGTACAGTGATCACGATCAGGATAGTAACGGAATAGAGGTGGACATGGGCTTCTCCACACAGCTGCACACGCAGTGCCAAACACTGCTCATCCTGCATGGACTCCTCCACCGCAGCGGCGTCTTGATGTGAGTGATCATGGATATTTTAATCACAATTTATGGTTAGGATAAAGTTAATCCTCTGGGGTCGACAAACAAGCCGGTGCATTTTGCTGGATTTTTTCACATAGCGGCAGAATATCAATATGAATACATGCCCACAGAGCGTGCGTTATTGAGATCAACTCGACGACAAAACTCATCAGATGCCGGTCGCGATGCGGGAGTTAAGACCGCAGTTTGAGCCAGCAGCTCGAATGGATTTGGCCCTGTGTCTACATACAATTCACCCTCATCCACTTCAGGTGAAGGTGAGGGAGAAAAGTCCTCGACTTCAAATGGCCGCTCTGTTGCAAAGGCAGTTACTTGCGTCACTCCAGTCTCGCTCTATTTTAGAGTCTGACAGCAGCTGTCACTCACGGCTGGTCTCAGGTGCACGCCCCCTGGCCCCGCTGGGGTCTGCCCATTTTTTCAGCATTTTTCAAATATTGCTAGTGGGTGGAGTCAGGCTCTGACCAGGGGTTTAGTTACTCTTTAAGTTGCATGAAGTCATGAGGCAACCTCGGGCATTTAAAAACATTGCTTCAGATATGAAAAGATATTCCCAACCAAAGACAGACAAGTCCCAAGTCAAGTCCCAAGTCATTTCCCGAGTCAAGACAGACAAGTCCCGAGTCGAGTCCCGAGTCATGTCCCGAGTCAAGTCCCAAGTCAAGACAAGTCCCAAGTCAAGTCCCAAGTCAAGTCCCGAGTCAAGACAGACAAGTCCCGAGTCGAGTCCCGAGTCATGTCCCGAGTCAAGTCCCAAGTCAAGACAAGTCCCAAGTCAAGTCCCAAGTCAAGTCCCGAGTCAAGACAGACAAGTCCCGAGTCGAGTCCCGAGTCATGTCCCGAGTCAAGTCCCAAGTCAAGACAAGTCCCAAGTCAAGACAAGTCCCAAGTCAAGTCTAAGTCAAGTCCCAAGTCAAGTCCCGAGTCAAGACAGACAAGTCCCGAGCCGAGTCCCGAGTCATGTCCCGAGTCAAGACAGACAAGTCCCGAGCCGAGTCCCGAGTCATGTCCCGAGTCAAGACAGACAAGTCCCGAGCCGAGTCCCGAGTCATGTCCCGAGTCAAGTCCCAAGTCAAGACAAGTCCCAAGTCAAGTCCCAAGTCAAGTCCCGAGTCAAGACAGACAAGTCCCGAGTCGAGTCCCGAGTCATGTCCCGAGTCAAGTCCCAAGTCAAGACAAGTCCCAAGTCAAGACAAGTCCCAAGTCAAGTCTAAGTCAAGTCCCAAGTCAAGTCCCGAGTCAAGACAGACAAGTCCCGAGCCGAGTCCCGAGTCATGTCCCGAGTCAAGTCCCGAGTCAAGACAGACAAGTCCCGAGCCGAGTCCCGAGTCAAGACAGACAAGTCCCGAGCCGAGTCCCGAGTCATGTCCCGAGTCAAGTCCCAAGTCAAGACAGTCAAGTCTCGAGTTAAGACAGACAAGTCGAGTTTAACCTTCAAGTCATTAGTGATAATTGCACAAATTAGTGTCCCAGTGTTAATTACTATAATAAATTAGATGTATATAATTTATATCAGGAAGGCATTTAAAATATGTTCATGACATATGTTCATGTTTTTGTCTACTTACATGACGTATTTGACGAGTAGATCATCCTGCTGCGAGGAGACGCGGATCTGATGCCTGGACTGAACTGTGATGGTCAACATCACGACTATTATGAGAAAAAACTGTCCTTTTTAGGGCCTCATCTTGTCCTGTTATTGATTCGTTTACATGTCTTTGGTCCGTGTAGAGTTTATATTTCAGGGTGTGTTCACACTTGGCATGTTTGGCGAACCCTGGTGCGATTGCTCTGTTAGTGCGGTTGATTTGAATATGTGTGAACGCTGCCATCTGAACTCTGGTGCCACCAAACACATGGACAGAGACGCTGAAAAGATGAGTCTCGATCCGCTTCCAAACCATTTAAAATAATGAAATATGTACACAACACAGTCTAAACAAATGTAAACGAACCAAAAACAGGAGATGATGTCACAAGATGCGAACCTAAATAGGACCGAATGCATAGTTTCCTCACAAAATATATACGTGATAAAAGCAGACGAGGTGGTGAACGAATCCCTGTGCCTCTAGGTTCGGTGTTAAATTGCTGATGTGAACGCTAAGCGGGTCAGGACTAAATGTTTTTTTTTTTTTTTTTGGTCCATACCAAACGAACCAAGCAAACCAAACAGAGCAATCACACTAGAGTTCGTTTTAATCCAACCGTTTAAAAAACACCCTTAAAACACTCTTCACACACTGTATAGGAATTTGCTATAGGCTGGAAATGCTCATTGATTTTAAAGTTAATCAAGCATATATGGGTTTTTTCAATCCTTTACACTGCCTATTATTATCAAATTTGTCAGAGGCGAACAGTCAGTGACTCAGTTTGGCGTTTCTGTGTTTGAGGCATTGATTGGCAAAGGCTCAAACCACAGTGATTCCTGTATACGTGCGGAACGACAGGTCTGCTGATGGTGATTCTCTCTTATTGCTCTGCCTCTCTTTATAAAGAAGCTCAAGCATGAAGAATGAAAGAGGTTAAACATCACGCTCGCTGGTTTGCTTTATGCCTAAATGGCCCCGAGGAGTTTCCACGCTTGTCCTCATTGTCCAAAGGCATTATTATGTTAATTTCACTCTTACATAAATAGCATTGAATAGATATATCATAACTGTCTTTCCAGATTTGTTGGAAGCATTGAGAATGGCACAACTGGCACTCATTATGTCAAGTAAATGAGCCGTGCATGCATATTAATACATTTCATACGCACGAAGCCCTTTTTAAAAAATAAATAAATAACTATAGTTATATAGTAATCCATCCACTTTCTTGAAATGGTATGTTCTACATTGCTTTGGTCCTGCTTATTTGTACTATTTTATTGTATACAACAAATATTTTGGGATATTGCATGTAGTGTATTGTAGATATAATGTGTGATTTTCCTTATACAGTGCTTTTTAATATAAATATTTTTTCATATATTCAGGTCTCTGATACTTGTCAAGTCTGGCCAAGGATTTATTCTCCTGTACTCTTTAGCCCACAGATCAGGTCATAAATAGCTGGTTAAGTCCTGTCCTGTGTAAAGCTCATTGGCTTGTGTTTGGAGGAGGGTTCAAGCGTCTATAAAAGATGAAGTGACGTAACATTTCTCATAACTCTTCCTGAACCTCAACGGGGTAGCCAGAGACATCACAAACGTGTCCTTTATTACAAAAATAAAATAAATAAACAATACAAAAGATCATATTTTAAGGATTTCAGCGGATAATGCAATGATCAAAATAAAAGCACAGTAAGATTGTTTTTTTTTTTTCACTTTGTTTTAAAAAGTTTGGTTTAAAATATGCATTGGAATATTATTCTTATAATATAACTTGTTTTTAAACCACTTATATGTATGTTTTTACAGCATCGGCTCAGTTTAAGGTGTGTGGACACTGTGGGGGACAGGCAATTGTGAAGGAGAATTTCACGATTATATGCTGAAGATGACTTGTGCAAAGTAAGTTTATTGTCTGAATAAGGCAAAATAGTAATAACATTTGTCCCAAAAAATCATGTGAATTTCTGTGTTCAATATTTTTCTGGTAAATCTCAACTTCAAATTGAAATTACTGTTTGTGAGTGCAAAACAACTGATTTTTGAGATAAGAGATAAAATATGTTTAAGATTTTAGTTTTTTTATTTAATCCATTATTATAAATTGATATATTTGTAGCTAAATAACGGTCTCAGATAATGAACCATGTAAGGGAACAGGTTATGATCATGTTTTTGTTTTGTTTTTTCGAAAAATGTACATTTATTTACTTCAATAAACTTAATTTGTCAACTCCGTTGCTATTTTAGTTATTTATTTGATCCGTCCAAAAACAGTGTAAAGTCTTTAATTATGTACAATTTGTGTTCGGTGGGAGCTAAGTGATAAAAATATATTTATACTCTGCATTTAGTTTTTCGCACTATTATATTAACAATTCAGTTCATATGTCCTTAATTCTCTTTTTAATATTAAGCATATATCATAGGTAAATAAGAAATAATATCAAGTAGTTTTTTTAACCCAATAAACTGAAAAAAGAATAAAATATTTCTTTCTATATTAACAGAAACCTTCATCTGACGGTGTTGACAAAGGTCTGACGGAGGTTACAACAGATTTAAGTATTTGCAAATGTTTTTTCAAACAACTGACTGACAAGATAACTAAATTAATTAATATTAAATTCAATTCAACGATCCTTCCAGTTAATGTACTTACAAACAGGTGTGAGTGAGTGAGAGTGTGTGTGTGTGTGCGCACACGAACAGTAGATGTAAAGACGTTATGTATACATGGCATGTAAATCAGGCCAAATATATACAGAATGTAAATAAAAACATGAATCAACCTTACAATAATTTCCTATATGCAAAAAAATCAGACAGACATAAAACCGACAGAGTTGACAAAACTGAATATTTCTCCATCTTGACCACATGTTGTACAGTGGAGTAGTTTTGTTTTTTCCTCAGTTGTAGCTTCCTTAATAAACACAACAAAAATGCCTAGATTCGACGATCACAGAGACGATCACACTGGGAACTCGGAGTTGACATGTTAAACCTGTGACCGCAGAGACTTGTTTAAAACACACTGCCCGGCCAAAAGAAAAGTCGCTGTTTGGATTTAAATATGCAAATGCTTTAGAGTCTGTAGCCAAGTTTCCATGACAACATGACATCATGACTTTTGCGTAAACATACACGCCACTTTCAAGTCAAGTGGCGTGTTATCTATACGCATTTTGTACGTACACGCCGTATGTACAATCTTTTTCCGAGTCAATTAATTCGTTGAATGAACCAAACGACTCGGAAAAAGATTTGTTCATTTTGATGAACGAGTTTGAACAGGAGAATCACGAACGCGCATCACAGTACAGAGCAAGGCGAGCATTTGAGCTTATAAAACTTAAACTTTGTTATTTATTTATTAAATGAGCGATCGTTTCGCTTGATAAGACCCTTATAAATTGCCTGGAATCGTTGCTATGATACAGAATATCCGCAGCACAGTTTATTTGTAACTGATTGTTTCCTACTAAAAATGTATTTTTCATCCATGTTGTTCGGTTGTGGCTCTGCTGGTTGATGTCGTTGTACAGAAAGAATGTTGTGACAGTTGGTCGGTGTGGTAATAGCCCCGCCCCTCCTCCACTAAGATTGGACGGCTGGGTAAAAAGTGACAGTGATGAGCGCTGCGTTTTACCCAAAGTTGAACATTCTTCAACTCTCAGCTGTCACAGTCTGCGTCTGCACTGTCCTGTCTTGTCATCAGCACTACACTTCCCAGGATCCTCTTGTCTCCACTCCTGAACTCACTCCCTCATCAGCCACCTGTTCCTCGTCTTGTTCATCAGTATCACCTGTCTTCACATCGTTATGTTTGATTCCTCCCTGTATTTAGTTCCCTCCGTTTCATTCAGTTATTGTCGGTCAATGTTTGATGTTAGCCTGTGTGGTGCCCGTATTCCTGTCTTCCAGCCTGTGTTTGTATATTAAAAGTAATCTTTATCGATATTCCGGACTCCTCGTCCTCTGCCTGAACCACACCCTGACAGATTGACCGACCCTAAGTATGAAGATCACTCTGGACCACCTAACTCCAATTAATCGCCTGATTCATTGTTTTCAAGATGGCGGCTCCATTGAGGAATATGTCGCCAGCTTCCTGGAGCTTTCCGTTGGGGTAAGCTGGACAGATGAAGTCCTGAAGACAGTTTTTTGGGGCGGTCTTGATGATCATCTGTATCAGCGAGCTCCAGCGGCGGCTGTTCCTGGATCGTTCTCCCAGTACCTGGACCATGTGCTGTGGTTGAGCGGCTCAGCCTTCACTGTTGGTGAGGCTGATGACATCGCCGCTCAACCACCATCTCCAGCCATGATCACCAGCCCCGCCGAGCCCCAGCTCTCCTCTTCGCTGGTTCCGTCCAGCCCCGTCCAGCCAGCGCCAGAGACCATCCAGCCAGCGCCAGAGACCGTCCAGCCAGCGCCAGAGACCGTCCAGCCAGCGCCAGAGACCGTCCAGCCAGCGCCAGAGACCGTCCAGCCTGCGCCAGAGACCAGGATCCCACCCAGCCTCCCTCTCCCGCCTCCTCCCATCAGTCATCCATCAGCTTTTTCGTTTACCTGCTCCCCTGACCCTGCCTGGTCGCTGGATCCTCAGTTTTCGCCTCCCACCTCCTCGACCTGGACTCTTCCTCGGCCCCTTGTCCCATCTGCTTCCCCGTAGCTCTTACCTCCCTCAGCTCCTCCAAGGCCCCTCAGTCCACCAGCTCGGCCAGGCTCCCTCGACCCTCCGGATTCCCTTCGCTCCCTCGTCATCCTCCCTTCACCTTTGGACTTCCTTCCTATGGCTCCGCCCCGTCATGTCACCCCCCCAGTTCTGTCGGACTCCTCACTCCCTCCAGTCACCCGTCAGCCCTCACTCCCTCTGGCCTCACCGTGTCCCTCTGTGCCCCTGTCGTCACTTCAGTCACCTGAGCCTACGGTGTCACCATGGTCCCTCGGTCCCTCTTCAGCACCCGACGTCGTCTGTCCCTCAGCTTCACCCTGGTCTCCGCTCCTATCTGCTCCGCCCCTGTCAGTCGGCCCCCTGGTGTCGTCAGCCCCATTTCCATCGGCTCCACCAGGGGTCCTCCCTCCATCTGCTCCGCCCTGGTCTCGCCCTCAGCCTGCTCCGCCCTGGCCACGCCCTCAGCCTGCTCCGCCCTGGCCACGCCCTCAACCTGCTCCGCCCTGGCCACGCCCCGCTCAGCCCTCAGATCGTCCCCCCTCCTTCCTCTGTTCTGCGGCGTGAGGCCACGCCTTCCGGGAGGGGGGAGTTCTGTCACAGTCTGCGTCTGCACCGTCCTGTCTTGTCATCAGCACTACACTTCCCAGGATCCTCTTGTCTCCACTCCTGAACTCACTCCTTCATCAGCCACCTGTTCCTCGTCTTGTTCATCAGTATCACCTGTCTTCACATCGTTATGTTTGATTCCTCCCTGTATTTAGTTCCCTCCGTTTCATTCAGTTATTGTCGGTCAATGTTTGATGTTAGCCTGTGTGGTGCCCGTATTCCTGTCTTCCAGCCTGTGTTTGTATATTAAAAGTAATCTTTACCGATATTCCGGACTCCTCGTCCTCTGCCTGAACCACACCCTGACATCAGCGACCAGTAAAAAACGTATAATGGATCCATGCGTCAGATCTTAAAGTGACAGCAGCTTAATATTCTTACTAACATGTTGAGATAATATTAAAAAATATCTATAAGGCAGTTTTTCCCCATAGTTTCGAATGTCAAAATTGTGGCCAGTGAGTGGCTTGTAACTTTGGAAAGCACTAGTAACAGCGGCTGCAAAGCAAGTCTGTCAAGCCTTGATTTTAAAGTAAAGCGAATCTTGCAAATAATCATTGGTTACACTTTATTTTAAGGTGTCATTGTTACAGTCTAATTACATATTTAGGTACTGAGTAATATTAAGCATGTACTTACTATAGGGTTAGGGTAGGATTAGGATTTGGTTGAGGGTTAGTTGAAGACTGATCTCATGAAGTAGCGTGTGTATGACACGCCAATTCGTATTTCCATTTTTGGCGTGCTATCAAGACGCATAATCGCCTTTCAGCATGTTTATGAACGCCGTTGACTATTACTGTATATAAATATATGACTTACCTCAACCCCGTCCCTAAACCTAACCATCACTGGGGTTAATGGCATTTATGATTGTTCCCTTACAATCCTATGAAAAAAAAAAGATCACTCCCCAAATGTAGATCTACATTTTGCTTCGTTTTGCTCGGACATTTGACGGCGTGTACAGACACGCGGAATCACTCGGACGTTAATGGCGTAGACATACACGCATACACACGGATACACGCGGATAGCTCAAAATGCGTAGAGATAACACGCCACTTGACTCGAAAGTGGCGTGTATGTTTACGCAAAAGTCATGATGTCATGTTGGTTAGTTGCATGTAATTATGCATAATTTACTGATACTATGGTAAGTACAGTACATGTAACAAGGAACCTGTCAAATAAAGTGTTACCTAATCATTTTATCTAGTGATGCACGATATATCGATATATACGTTAATTTTTAGTGTTATCGGCCTGATAAGAAAATTAGGCCGATATATTAAAGTTGATAATTAATGTATTATTTCCTTCAGCTGAGACACTTCAGATGCACTGTTCAACATGATGGTTTGGAATTGCTTGAAATATGATTGGAAAAAAAATGAAAATACAGTTTAGTGCAGCACAAGTCCATGTAAACTATATGATGTGATTGGGATATGGATTTTAATGGTGAGACTTTTGTTTTTGTAATCAGACTCTCAAAAATGAAATAAAAATTTGGATTAAGATTCATCGGCCAATATATCGGTTATCGGCTTTCAAGTATAAAGAATTATCGGTTATCGGTATCGGCCAAAATGTTCATATCAGTGCATCCCTAATTTTATCCCATTTTTTCCGTCTCCAGTGTGATTTCTCGGTTTGGCCCGCCTGTCTCCATGAGGTCTGTGGACGTGGGCTTCAGGTGCAGAGGCTCTCCGCACATCAATCATCTTCTCACGGGGTCGTCTCCCACACCCCTGCGACCCTGCATCTCCCATCCGCCGGTGTTTGAGTTCACACACACTCCCACAACAGGCCTGATCAAGAGCGGCCGCAGGGAGAAGCGCGTCGCGTTCGCGGACGCCAAAGGGCTGTCGCTCATCACAGTGCGCTTGTTCTCCGAGAAAGAGGACAAACCGAACCTGAAAACACCACGACTTAAGAAGTTGATCTGCTCGACAGAGTCAGCTAATAAGACTTTAGGGTTGAGACTTGGGTTCGATCAGCCCTGCAGAGATTTCCAGGCGTTCAGAACGAGGCTTCAGGATCACATGGTGCTGTTGGAGAGCTGTGACGTCACCAAACGCTGCATTCTGGGAACCGTGCGCGTCAAGAACGTCTGCTTCGAGAAAGCCGTACACATCCGGATCACTTTCGATGCGTGGAGCAGTTACCGGGACGTCCCGTGTGCGTACCTGGATCAGAGTTACGGGGAACCTGGAACTGACGTGTTTGAGTTTAACATCAGCGTTCCTGAACGGATTGACCCGCGCAGACGCATCGAGTTCTGCGTGTCTTACTTACCGGCGGCGCTCGGTGTCACTGAATGGGACAATAACGATGGCAAAAACTATTGTATTCATGTGTGTGGCGCTGAATCTGCTGCCGTCTAATGACAGCTTCACTGTGTCTGCTGAAACTTTGCACATCTTTGTGTGCCATGATCACTGTTGCTCAGATTATTCATATTTTTTTTAATTTATGTTTGTGATATTTACTAGGCCTAATCTAACAGAGGTTTATAAATATCTTGCGGGAATGTTTGCATACTGTGGATAATGTATTTTATGATAAATGTTTAATTATATCAAATACAATTTTTTTTTTTAGATTAAGCACTAACATGTTTATAAAACCCTTTCGTACTGTAAATAACTTAGTTTTTAAAGTAAGTATTTTATTATATATATATATATTAGAGAGTGTTTAATGATATTCACCTGGATTCCCTAGGGTCATCTTTTTTTGTTTTTATCCTTATTCTTGTTATATTTATCTCAGACAAGATTAATACAGTCAAGCACTTTTTCTATTTCTATACATAATCTATTTTTATGCTGTTGGGGTATCTAATTAAGTTACCTTTCTAGCATAATTTAATGTAGGACACGGCCTGGTATTCCTTAAGGAGGTGCAATCAAATCCCAGGATGTTTTTGACTTGGTCACTAAGTATAATCCATTTTAATCTATTAAATACCAGGATCGGTGCCTGACATTGACGTATAAGAGAACCCTTGATCATAAAAAGATGTTTAAGCATATTGTGAGATTGTTTTTGATCCCACACTGCCATGTTAAATGTCTTGCGTACAGAAATGATCCCCGCTGAGGTTGCGTTGTGATTGATTTCCTTCATGTGAGAGTTTTAAAGGTCCTGATAAATCCAACTCTTATCAGCAGACAGACAGAGAGATCCGTGTTTGTTCAGACAGATTATAAATGGCCTGTTCATAATCAGATTACATGCAGATGCTCTCAGTTAGAGGTTTTGGAATCCACATCATTAATTTGATGGCTCACATTTTGGAATATAAACTGACATTAATTGAATATATATAAAGCTTTAAATATATCACAAACAATTTCAGGCTGTTTTATATTTTTTTACTGCATTTGATATGCTTTAAAGGAGTAGTTCACTTTAAAAAAAACAACATTTGCTGATAATTCACTCACCCCCATGTCATCCAAGATGTCCACGTCTTTCTTTCTTCAGTCGAAAAGAAATTAAGGTTTTTTATGAAAACATTCCAGGATTTTCTCCATATAATGGACTTCAAACGGTTCAAGGTCCAAATGACCGTTTCAGTGCAGCTTCAAACGACACCAGACGATGAATATAAGGGTCTTATCTGGTGAAACGATCGGCCATTAAAAAAATAAATACAAAAGTTTAAGTTTTATAAGCACAAATGCTCGCCTTGCTCTGTTCTGTGATGCGCGTTCGTGACTCTCCTGTTCGAACTCATTCATCAAAAGGAACGAATCTTTTTTCGAGTCATTTCGTTCGAACGTTCTTACGAAATGACTCGAAAAAAGATTTGTTCATTTTGATGAACGATGTTGTATGTATGTGAATAAGGACGCTACATATACATTGGTTTAAGATCCGTGTATTAATATATTGCAAAAATAACTCACATGCACACGCAGCACACAACTGCTGCTGACTTCCTGTTACAAGTTAACATACTCAAGTTTTCCACAAGGTGGAGCTGCTGCCTAGGCACTACAACAAGAGGCTGTAACAAACGAGTTTGAACAGGAGAGTCCAGCAAGGTGAGCATGTGTGCTTATAAAAGTTAAACTTTTGTATTTAGTTTTTAAATGGCCGATGGTTTCGCTAGATAAAACCCTTATTCATCGTCTGGTGTCGTTTAAAGCCCTTTGAAGCTGCACTGAAACTCTCAGTTGGACCTTGAACCATTAAAGTCTATGGAGAAATATTGGAAAGTTTTCATCAAAAACCTTAATTTCTTTTTCGACTGAAGAAAGAAAGAAAGACATGGACATTTTGGATGACATTGGGGTGAGTAAATTATCAGCAAAAGGTTGCGTCATTTTGACAGACAAGGTCATAAAAACCTGTCATTTTTATTTTCACATTTTAATGATAAGCCATTTAATAGGCTCTGTTTTTGTTCACGAACTTACGGGACATTGGGTTATGCATTTCTTTATTGATGAAGTGAAAGCTGAACAGAGACTGTGCATCACTTTTCATGTTTCATCATGAATGTTTGTTCAATAAATCGCAATATGTCTATTTTATCACAAAATTCTAGCAATAAATATCGTTTTTGGCGCTTTTTGGTGTGGCGCCTTGAGCAGCGCGCCCTTTAAGTTACAGAACGAAATAAACATGAATAAACATTAAAGAAATATGTTGAAATATACAGTCCAACTAATCCTAAATCCATATCATGTCTCTCATGTAATCGCATCAGTGTGGACAGAAAGACGTCAATAAAAGTTAACAGTGACCATTCGTTGACCATAAACGTGATTATCAGCAAGAGCACATTCGCCACCGAGTGGACAGAGGTGAGATTTACAGTTAAAACAAGTTACAAGTTAAAATCACTGCAAAATAAATTCCGTCAGTAAATTATATTAAAAAGTAATTAATTAAAAAATATATATTATTTCCATAATAGATGGGAAAATTTCTGTTAACGCGACCTCTGTACCACATTTTAATAAGCCCTTTCCAATATTTAATGTTCCATGATCCTGTCCTTGTTGAGAGCTGAACTGAATTACATTCATTCTCACACAGACAGAAAAGCTGCAAAAATAACATGCAGAAAGTCTCAAGTGTTTTATTTCTTTTGTTAAAGCATTCTGTACAATTAATTCAACATTTATATATATTTAAACATACACAAAGACTCATGAGATTCAAATTGATTACAGGATTAGACTCCGAAACCTCAAATAACTTAATATAAAAATAAAGAAAATCACACATCTTACATAATTCATTAAATATTATTTACACATCATGATTAGTAGGCTATTAAAGGGTTATTTCACCCAAGAATTGACTCTCCCTCAGGCCATCCTAGCCGTATATGACTTTCTTCTTTCAGCCAAACACCATCAGAGTCATATTACTATCCTGGCTCTTCCCAGCTTTATAATGGGACTGTATGGTGCCCACAGATTTTGAAGCCCAAAAAAAGCACATCCATCCATCATAACAATAATCCATACGGCTCCACGGGTTTAATAAAGGCTTTCTGAAGCGAAGCCATGCGTTTTTGTAAGAAAAATATCCATATTTGTAACTTTATAAACTATAATCACTGGCTTCAGGTAACAGGCAGTACGTAGATCTGGCCAGAGAGTGACCTCTCACCTGACGCTTGGCCTTTATTAACCCCCTTGAGTCGTAAGGATTACTTTTATGATGGATGGATGCACTTTTCACTTGGATGTACCATTCACTGCCATTATAAATCTGCTAATGTCTGTCACACATTATTCACAACTATAATAAAGCTGGGAAGAGCCAGGGTATTAATATAACTCTTATTGTGTTTGTCTGAAAGAGGAAAGTCATATACACCTAATCATGGGATAATTTTCATTTTTCGGGTGAACTATCCCTTTAAAGAAGTGGATTTATAGCTGAGACTGACTCATACAAGTTATCATATGGCTTCCGCTGACTTTCAATAAAAGACATGATGATGAGTAAAAGATGAAACATTTTTAGGTGAACTGTCCCTTTAAGCTCTGAATCGTTGACTCACAGGCCACAAGGGTTTGTTTCATAAGTGGCGAGTCATTCAGTTCTCATTATTTATTCTTTACTCTTTTTGTGAAAACCCTTGGCATGTCCTGAAAACAAATCCCTCGGTGTGAATGTTTGTTCGGCTTCTGGTGATAAGATCCATTTCCAAATCACAGCAAGTGATGGTCCATTTTTCCTGGTTGCACTTTAAATGACAGCATGCATTCACACACTGTAAAAAAAAAGTGTTATCTTTTGTCAAATCCATTTAGATAATGAATGTGGTTCAGATTATTTTGAGTTTCTATTGATCTGCATGAACTAAAATTTTTAATTTCAATGAACTCAATGAACTCAACATTTGAAGGCAACCAGGTAACTTACTTTTTTAAGTTAAACCATCAATATTTGCAACATCAGCGTCCCACGCTGATGTTGCACACCTTACAGCTCGGGTCTTTTTTGGCGTTGGCGGTGGAGAGGCTCATGAGTTGCGGACGGCCACTGATCTGAGCCAGGATCCCGTTCTCCAGAAGCAAAGGCTCTGTGAACAGCACCTCCAGAATCACATCGCTGGCGTGACTGAACGCGGGAACGTCTCCGGCCGCGTACGTCAGGAAGGGATTGGCTGTCAGGTCCAGTCGTGGAAGCCGGGTCTTGCAGAAGTCGTCCCCCTCCGATCCAGCAGGGGCCAGCACCAGCACCACATAGTGATACGCTGTGTACATGCAGTAGAAGTCCGCGAAGTAGAGGTTTGTGCTCGGGTTGAGGAGGCGTTCGGCAGAGATCTGGAAGCGCAGAGGCCCGTACGGGGAGTCTTTCGGAGGGAGGCCGGTGTCGAACTCGGTGTTGCAGCTGAGGAAGACGCCGCGTAGCTTTCCGTTGATCGGCGAGCCGTGACTTCCACTGTTGTCTTTGAAAGATGGGAGCATTGCTCCTCCACACTCTGATCTATGGAGAGAATCATAAATGTCAAAACTCAAACCTGCATGAAAAGTTGTGAACAATTTATCCGTGCATATTAGCAGTGTAACTAGGGCTGCACGATTATGACAAAAATCACAATTGTCGATTATTCCTTTGAAATTGCGATTATTTATTAGGGCTGGGTATTGACACAAATTTCACAATTCGATTCGATTTCGATTCACAAGCTTGCGATTTGATTTCGATTTCGATTCACTATTGATTATTTTGGATATCAGTTACAATAAATGTCAAATTTTCTCAAGAAAATTTAATCTCTTAACTAACGCTGTAAACTAGTTGTAGCCTATAGGCTTCATTAGCCTAATATGAAGGTAATAATGAACTGTTTTGTAGCTATACAAACACTTAAATTACAATTTTATTTATTTTTATTTTAAGAACATTATATGAAATAAACATTTAAATGGTGGCTGTCATAAAAACTTCCTAGATTTATTCAAATATTATTCAACTTTTATCTCTTTCCCCAGCGTTATTTTTTTTTTAAAGTTGCCAGCCAGCGCCAGAATTTATTATCATTTACACAAAACTATGGTCCTCAGAGTATTTTTTTGTTTGTATGAATATCTAAACATGCAATATGTTAAAAGAAAGAACAGACCCTCAGCTTTTAAACAAAACAAAACAAACTTTTTGAACAAAAAATGAGAAAATAATATTTTTGTCAAAGACTCAAATAATGAAGATCAAAAATCAATGCAGTCTAAAGTCCGAAATTTTCGTGTGCGTTTTTTCGTATTCATGATTCGTTGGCTCTGAATTGTTAAAACACCATTCAAACATCATTCAAACTGCTCGCTACGGATGTGAAAAACGCAGAAAATCAAACCCGATTAGATTTTTTTTATGACGGACGAAAGTTTCGGAGGCAGTGTGCAAGCGTCATTGACATAACGTGAGGTCGTATTTATTTTTTAACGTGTGAAAATTTTGGACGTGAATTTCGGACTCAAGTGCCTTCAGAGCTGTCATATATGTAGAGAGCAGTGTAGATGACACTAACCTCACGTACTGGAAGTATTCAGGACTCTGATTGCGGTAAAACACGGAGAACCTGAGTGGCCGCCCGGCAGCGGCCTGAGCTTTATCTAACAGCTGCTGGAGATGATCCATGGCATAATCTGCACAAAACAACACATTGACAACCATGATTTATGAATATAACATAAGTGCTGTATCTGTCTGCTGCCGAATGTGCTTTCTGTGCCTATATACGTCACCGCCAGCCGGAGTGACTGCGGTACACACACACTGAGTGGCAAAAAGATATTCAAGTGTGAAACACACAAAACATCTACAATGGGAAAGAGCTTTGAGATTTACTGATATAAATAGATTTGACAAGAAATCTGAGGTGTATTTTTACTGACTGATGAAAGCTACAGAAGCAAATGATTGCTGCGATTAGAAACTGGATTTGCAGTTATAATTTTGTCTCAATATGCTGAATGTGGGGTAATATCATACCCTACTGTATATAGCCTATTGTATTGACAACTTATCAATTAAATATTTTCCATTATATATTCTGCATAATTGGTTAATTAAATGTTTTTTAAAAAACACAGGCCAAAAAGTTTTAGTGCTGGACGATATGATGATATATATATAATCACTGATCACTGCATTGCAAATGGGCGGAGCTTAAGTGTAGCTCCTCCTCGAGAGGAGGGGAGGAGCTGGTCGTCATTTGACTGCAGTGAGTACCTCTTGAAACAGACAGACAAATGATCTGAAAGCACCACAGAGTCACAGTGTTTACTCTTTTTAAGATCTTTACAGTTGTCTCTGATGAAAGCCTTGTAACCATAAAACATAAAGGTGGAACACCTAAGATTTTATGCCGCTAGAGGGCGCTACATTCAAAACAACAACAACGGCTTTGCTTGATGACGCCGTGGAGGAACGCGGAATGATGGGAACTGTTGTTTTCAACTCCACGGTGGATAAATCATAGACAGTATAAATCAGTCAGACGGGAATCGAAAATTAGTTGTCATGGATGAGGTAAAGTTCGATTTCTATAAATGTTGCGTTTAATGACATGCTTGTTTTTCATTAAACTGAAATAACCAGGTCAGGTTTAAAAGTAAATTAGTTATCACAGATGTTACTGTACGAGTCACTGGACGAAGTGACTTATTTCTGTCTTAAACCGTTGCTAATGGATCCTGACTTCGCCCTATGCTGCAAAATGCATTTAGTTTTGCATTCATTTACAGAAATCAGCTGCTTGAATAACAATTGCTGATGTTATTAGATTTTTCAGGTGAGATTCTCAATTCATTCAGTGAACGGATGCTCTGAGGTAAAGTTTTCAGAATGCAGACTCAACAACGATTGTATTTAATTGTACAGTACAATAACATAGAACAGACATTATCTTCATTTCATGTCATTAAACATAACAATATTGCTGGCCATACACTGATGAGAAAGTGCACGTCTGGTGTGTGGAGTTGTCCTAAACGTGGCGCGGCGCTTCTCGTCCGGTGTGCGACCCCCTTTACAGCCAACAGTTCACATTCCGAGAATAAATGAAAAGAATAATTGTGCTCCATTCCATAAAAATGCGCGAAACAAGCTGACGTTTGTTGCTTGATAGACGCTAACGCACAACTACAACTTCCGCATTTGTCCAGGACTACATGCAGTACGAGCGGAAACCGCGGTAACGCGGATATTACGCGATTGACTGGCGACTCCCAGCTCACCCCTGCTCACACGCCCCGTTTCCTTAGTTAAAATCGAAATTTTCTCGCGATTTAAACATTGTTTGAAACATTTGGAATGTTGTAAGTTATCATCTTAACTAAATATATAACATTGGCCTTGTGATTTTGGGATATTTTAATGCGAAATTCGTAGGTATTCCACCTTTAAAGGTGCTGACTGTAAGACTAACAGCTAGTGGTTGAAATAGGTTTTCCCGCTCCCTCCTCCTCAGACTCGACACACGGGTTGCCAGTTTGAAGCGAGCGCAATTGACAACGAAAGCTGAGGAGACTTACACACTTTTTTTGATTTATCCGCGTTTTAATATGCTCTCGTTCTTGGAGATTTTTAGATGCATATCGAGGCTTTTTAGGTTGTGTGGAATTTGCAATCTCTGACCCAGTTTGTTTGCTCATTTCCATGGCTGCGATACGCTGTGTTTCCCGCCAACTGGCATCCCGGGTGTCAAAATACTATTGGCTGAACTGGCAGTGGGCGGAGTCACACAGACCAAAACAAAAACCGACTGACAACACGAAACGTGGAAAATAATAAATAAAATAACTGGCTGTAGAAGTGTTTTTCAGAGAAATGAGTATGTGAACTTGTTTCCTAAATATCTGCAAATATATTATGGTATTTGTATGCTTTAGTAGAGTAAAAAAGCTGCATACAGCACCTTTAAACATCTGTTAGCCCGTCTCTGCTTACCCCCGGTGCAGAACTCCACCACTTGGCTCCACTCAGACACTTGATAGTCTCCGTCAGGCTGTCTGATGGCGGTCTGCACTGCCACACAATACTCCGTCCGAGGGCTCAGGAACCAGTGGCCTCTCACAGACATCGGCAAAGGTCCTGCTTTAGCCACTAGCTTGGTGGGAACATCCTGAAAAGACAAACGCCAGAGGGCGCCGTTAGCCTACCGCTTTCAAATGGGTTTTTAACAGTCGACTGTTTTTGTTTATTCGATCCCTAATTCACCATGAAATCAAAATTGACAATTATTGGGTTTTTTTAAATGTATTTTTAAAGTAATAATTAAAGGTGCAGTCCGTAGTTTTTCCTCTTTGTCGCCATCTCTGTTAGAAATCTGCAATTGCAGTTATTCACAGAATTATCAACTTTACGTGGGTTGTGCTTCGGCACGGCACAGCGTGGATGAATGAATGTTTTGAGGAGAGTGTGCAGCTATCAATTACCGATATACCAGATTCAGCTAAATATTTCACATAGAAATTACTAGTAAATTTCACAAATAATTACAAAGAAATGGCAAGTAACACAAAATTGAACATGAAATATAGTAGAAAGACTGAAATAGTATTTTCTTGTAAAAACTCCAATAGTCTTTGTTTTACATGTCATTATTTAGTATAGCACAGAATTCCTGTAACATTATGGCATTATATAAACATGTAGACTGCATACATAATTATTTTTGCAACTATCCAAATGCATTTTTCCAATTCCAAACCATATTAATTTTAATAATTAAAGTAATTATTACTTAAATATAATAATTACTAATTATAATTTTTTTTAATTAATTTTTCAGCTTCAGATTATGATTCCATCCAGCCAGAGAAGGTCAAACATGTTAGATATTTTAAAAAAACAACATATTTATTTCACTATAGTCATTGGTCTCATAGCAACAAGGTGCATGTTTTTGTGCGAGTTTGTTGTGTTCGGAATGATTTTTTTTTTAAATCTGCTCAGTCAGCTGGGCTAAAAAAGCGTTTTGAGAAAAAAAGGAGCAGAACACCTTGTCAAGAATGAATTGTGAAGAAAACCTTAATCCTCCTGAGTCAGCAGAACAGTAACATTCCCAGAAACTCTGCTGAGACTGAAACACGACTCTCACTTCATAAGAAACACAAGCTGCTGAAACATCAATTTTAGACCAGAAATACTTCAAGAAATATTTCAGAAGTATTTCTGAAATAAAAATACACACCTGTGCCATTTTTTTTGCCGTTAGCTTTAACACAGGGAAAGTGATAAAAAAAAACAACAAAAAAAAATGTCCATAAGGATGCACAAGGGTTAACTAGTTACAAGTATAATGTGTGTCTAGAAACAGCCGTTTAAAAATTGTTTTGTTCATTGAAATAAAATGTCACTATTAATATTAGAAACTATAAATTGAAGTACTAAAATGACTAAAACTGAAATGAAAATAAATGAAATCAATTTAAATAATGAGACATTACATCATCAATTCTTCTTTCAAGACCGATCAGGATTGTTTTCGCGTACAGTCATGTGGAAAAAGACAGGACACCCCATGAAAAACATTTGTCTTTTTCAACAAATGGACATTGGTTCTTCATTTTAACAATATTGAAAGATGGAGCATGAAGGTAATAAAAATAATAATTCTAAAAATTAATAAAACTGAAGAAATGTCATGTGACATTTGAAAAAATTCTTTGTAAAATGTCATTAATAGAAATTATATATTTGGTGAGGAAAGAGATAGGACTAGTCCGCATTTATTTACAACTTAAAATGCATAAAATTAGAATCAGGTGCGCCACATCATGTGCAAAAGATTAAAACATTGTTAGAGGATTGAGGAGGAGCCTGTCTTATTTACACCTCAGACATTTAGCTTGGTTTGCTCTTGATTGTGAGTGAAATCCCCATGGTGAGATCCAAAAAGCTCTCTGAGGCCTTCAGAAAGAGGGATGTATGATGCATATGAGTCTGGGAAGGGATTTTAAAAAATCTCCAAAATATTCGAGATCAGCCATTTCACCGTTTATGAGTTAACATTACATTAAACTGTCATGTGGTTGGTTTTGAGTGACATTGGCTGTCATGAGGGCATTATACTGTAAATGTGTCATATTTTCTTGACCTCAACTAGTGGTATTGAATTTGTCATTAAAATGTTATAATAGCCTTATGACTCATCCTAACTTTTTCCTCAATCATTTTTTTGTTAAATAAATTATGTCATGGTTAAAAATTCATTGTTTTTGGTTCAATTACATCCCCTTTATATATGTATATTGTTTGAAAGATATTAGCCCATATTTATTATGGGGAAATCATATTTCTAAAATTTTTCATGGGGTTTCCTATCACATCCACAACAGTGTTCTTTCATAAAATACATGCAGTTTTGTTTTTTAACAGCTATAGAGGAAGAAAAGTTACATAATGCACCTTTAAATCACAAAAACGAATAAAAATGGCAAAAGTGTAAAAAAAGTGTAAAAAAAAAATACTATAGCATATAAATAATACTAAAATAACATGCTAGCTGGATGTTTTTAAGTTAAAAATACACTGAAAATAAATGAAAAAGTAATTTTTGGGAAGAAGTCAGCATCATTCAAAGAGACTGAGATGGCCATGAACAAATCACAAAATTGGTTATTCGATATATGAGCTGAATTGAAAAGAAATAGCCTATCTTTACAGGCCAAAGTATTGTTATTTGTATATAATTTAAGAGTCAATTGTTGATTATTTTGAAGTTTGTGATTCACTTATAACATTTTATCTGTTTACCGATAAAATTAATCATGGGAAACACTAATTGTCTAATAATTATGCACGCAGTCTAAGCAGGGAAACATTAATACGATTTATGAGAAGATAACATCTGCAAACGAAACATATCCAGTGTTTTCTGACGACTCTTGTCTGTCAAAGGTGAAAGACGTTTTCAAACTTCACTGAAGTGTAACGTCTCTCATATAAGAGCTCTATCACAAATAATTACTCTTGTTGTGGAGGCTCGAGTTTTTGACAAGCAGAACCAATTATGAAATGCTCAGAGGGGCAATAACCATAGCAACCCCTTATGAAAGGCCTTTCCTTTTGCTCACACATGGAATATTAGAGCCCTGGCAAAATCAGATGTAATTTCAGCAGCAGTTTATTTTTGGTGACCATCGAGTGCAAAAGAGATACTAGCAATACTTCTACATTATAGCTTAATTTTCTCAGCAAGAATTTGAAACAAAATGAAATTAAACACTTACAAGTAATGCAAGTAAAGTAATCAGATTACTGTTTTTGAGTAACTAGTAAATAAATGTATTACTTTTACTCTTTCCCCGCCAGCATTTTTTTTTACTGTTAAAGTCTCCTTCAGTGAGCCTGGGTTGTCCCAAGGTTTTTTTTTTTCTTCATTGGGTCTCCTGATGGAGTTTTAGGACACCATTGGGTCTCCTGATGAAGTTTTAGGACACCATTGGGTCTCCTGATGGAGTTTTAGAACACCATTGGGTCTCCTGATGGAGTTGTAGGACACCATTGGGTGTCCTGATGGAGTTTTAGGACACCATTGGGTCTCCTGATGGAGGTCTCCTGATGAAGTTTTAGGACACCATTGGGTCCCCTGATGGAGGTCTCCTGATGAAGTTTTAGGACACCATTGGGTCACCTGATGAAGTTTTAGGACACAATTGGGTCTCCTGATGAAGTTTTAGGACACCATTGGGTCTCCTGATGAAGTTTTAGAACACCATTGGGTCTCCTGATGGAGTTTTAGGACACCATTAGCCGCGTTTCCACTGCCGGGCTAGGGCTGGGCCAGAGCTAACAGCGAGCCGGGCCGAGCTAGTGGCCTCGGGCCTCAAGCACCGGGCTTGCGTTTCCACTGCCGGGCCAGTAGCCCCACAGCGCTGCCCCAGACCCCACCCCTAACACGCCTTTCAGGATCAAACGTCATAAAACCCAACCCATTTCAGCGGGTATTATGAATTAATTTATTTTTTAAATTAGGAAGATAGCATGTATATTAACTCACCTGCGGTGGCTGCAATAGTGTCCCGAGACCAGTACAGGCGATTCTCCATTTCAAGCAGCGATTTTTTGCGCGATATAACAAGTAGGGCTGCCGGCACGTTTTCAAGTTATTTATTAACCGTTAACCGAGGCCCATCGGTTAATACTCGGTCTCGGTGCATAGTGTGCGCGCCGCAACCTCGATACAGAGTAAATTTTTAACACCTTTAATAACTGATTGGACCCCATTTGAAACGAAATTAATTTATAGAAATAAAACGCAGCAAGTACGGAGCAGTTAAAGCCGCATTTCCATCACCCTTCAAACTGAAATTGCCAATTGAAAATAAGCAAAACGTCCATTTCACAAAAACTCCGTGTCTGCAAATAATAATAATAATAACCATCATCATCATTATTGTAACATTTTATTAGGCTGCATATGTAGAAGACGCATTTATCCAAAAAAGGAACGGAGCACAAATAAACACAATATTTTTGACAAATATCAGCGCATATCCAGTGTGTGTGGAGCACGCACTGATGGCTGCGAGACGCCCATGTGAACAGTTTCGTTGCATTTCTTTCAGTGGAAACAACTTAAAATACTCTTTAATTTCTGGTCATACAGAAAATAATAATACATTATTCGCAAATACATTTATTTGCGTAAACTCACAATAACAAGAAAACGTTGTGCTTTAACAATCAAGGCGTGCTTCATGATCTCCGTGAACTGAAGCGCGAGACCTGAAACAGCCACCGCATTCGAATTTGTTCGTTTTAAATTGGACATTTAAAGCTTTAGTCTACAGGGGTTATATCCTTTGTAGATTAAAGCTTTAAATGTCCAATTTAAAACGAACAAATTCGAATCGAAAGCCAATATCTTCTATATTATGTAGCTTAATTTCTCTCTAAATGTGCATCCGGAGATGGAGAATTGTTTTTAGCCGAAAATCTTTTAGAAAACAATAGTTTATTAATAAACAATTAATGCCTCGTTATTTTATTTTATTTTATTATCAGACACATTTATTAGCTATAGCCTATAAATCACCCATAAATCCCCTTTCTGTAGGCTGTGGTTAAGGCTCTTCTCATTCAGCACTGCAGGGAAAATTTCATTTCCAGGTTCTAATTTGGCCTCAGAAAACCAGTAAAATATATATTTTTTTCATATTAATTTGTCAAATATTTTAAATGTTTAAGGGGCAAAAAAATCAAACAAATATCTGAAAATTCGTCGATATGTAGCTATATATAGCCTATATATTTTTGCGCAGATTTTGGCATAGGCCTACAGTTCAAATTAAAATGTTATGCAATTTTAAACGGTTAATCGGTTAAACATGGACACCCCTATGTGCATCTTGCTTCAGATCATAACGTTCCATAACACCGATAAACTCCGCCTTTTACCTTGAGCACGCCTCTAGCCCGAGCTGGCCCCCTCTGGCCGAAGGTATTCGACGGGCCAGAAATCCTGGCCGTTGGCCCTGAGGAAGCCCCGATCAAGCCCCGGAAGTGACAGTGGAAACGCGACTGGCCCTGGCACGCACTAGCACGGCCCGGCCCTGGCCCGGCAGTGGAAACGCGGCTATTGGGTCTCCTGATGAAGTTTTAGGACACCATTGGGTCTCCTGATGAAGTTTTAGGACACCATTAGGTCTCCTGATGGAGTTTTAGGACACCATTGGGTGTCCTGATGGAGTTTTAGAACACAATTGGGTCTCCTGATGGAGTTTTAGGACACCATTGGGTCTCCTGATGAAGTTTTAGGACACCATTGTGTCTCCTGATGAAGTTTTAGGACACCATTGGGTCTCCTGATGGAGTTTTAGAACACCATTGGGTCTCCTGATGAAGTTTTAGGACACCATTGTGTCTCCTGATGAAGTTTTAGGACACCATTGGGTCTCCTGATGGAGTTTTAGGACACCATTGGGTCTCCTGATGAAGTTTTAGGACACCATTGGGTGTCCTGATGGAGTTTTAGGACACCATTGGGTCTCCTGATGAAGTTTTAGGACACCATTGTGTCTCCTGATGAAGTTTTAGGACACCATTGGGTCTCCTGATGGAGTTTTAGAACACCATTGGGTCTCCTGATGAAGTTTTAGGACACCATTGGGTCTCCTGATGAAGTTTTAGGACACCATTGTGTCTCCTGATGAAGTTTTAGGACACCATTGGGTCTCCTGATGAAGTTTTAGGACACCATTGGTCTCCTGATGGAGTTTTAGGACACCATTGGGTCTCCTGATGAAGTTTTAGGACACCATTGTGTCTCCTGATGAAGTTTTAGGACACCATTGGGTCTCCTGATGGAGTTTTAGGACACCATTGGGTCTCCTGATGAAGTTTTAGGACTCCATTGGGTCTCCTGATGAAGTTTTAGGACTCCATTGGGTCTCCTGATGGAGTTTTAGGACACCATTGGGTCTCCTGATGAAGTTTTAGGACACCATTGGGTCTCCTGATGGAGTTTTAGGACACCATTGGGTCTCCTGATGAAGTTTTAGGACACCATTGTGTCTCCTGATGAAGTTTAGGACACCATTGGGTCTCCTGATGGAGTTTTAGAACACCATTGGGTCTCCTGATGAAGTTTTAGGACACCATTGGGTCTCCTGATGAAGTTTTAGGACACCATTGTGTCTCCTGATGAAGTTTTAGGACACCATTGGGTCTCCTGATGAAGTTTTAGGACACCATTGGGTCTCCTGATGGAGTTTTAGGACACCATTGGGTCTCCTGATGAAGTTTTAGGACTCCATTGGGTCTCCTGATGAAGTTTTAGGACACCATTGGGTCTCCTGATGGAGTTGTAGGACACCATTGGGTCTCCTGATGGAGTTTTAGAACACCATTGGGTCTCCTGATGGAGTTTTAGAACACCATTGGGTCTCCTGATGAAGTTTTAGGACACCATTGGGTCTCCTGATGAAGTTTTAGGACACCATTGTGTCTCCTGATGAAGTTTTAGGACACCATTGGGTCTCCTGATGAAGTTTTAGGACACCATTGGGTCTCCTGATGAAGTTTTAGGACACCATTGGGTCTCCTGATGAAGTTTTAGGACACCATTGGGTCTCCTGATGGAGTTTTAGAACACCATTGGGTCTCCTGATGAAGTTTTAGGACACCATTGGGTCTCCTGATGAAGTTTTAGGACACCATTGTGTCTCCTGATGGAGTTTTAGAACACCATTGGGTCTCCTGATGGAGTTTTAGGACACCATTGTGTCTCCTGATGGAGTTTTAGAACACCATTGGGTCTCCTGATGAAGTTTTAGGACACCATTGGGTCTCCTGATGGAGTTTTAGAACACCATTGGGTCTCCTGATGGAGTTTTAGGACACCATTGGGTCTCCTGATGAAGTTTTAGGACACCATTGGGTCTCCTGATGAAGTTTTAGGACACCATTGGGTCTCCTGATGGAGTTTTAGAACACCATTGGGTCTCCTGATGGAGTTTTAGAACACCATTGGGTCTCCTGATGAAGTTTTAGGACACCATTGGTCTCCTGATGAAGTTTTAGGACACCATTGGGTCTCCTGATGAAGTTTTAGGACACCATTGGGTCTCCTGATGAAGTTTTAGGACACCATTGGGTCTCCTGATAAAGTTTTAGGACACCATTGTGTCTCCTGATGAAGTTTTAGGACACCATTGGGTCTCCTGATGGAGTTTTAGGACACCATTGTGTCTCCTGATGGAGTTTTAGGACACCATTGGGTCTCCTGATGAAGTTTTAGGACACCATTGGGTCTCCTGATGGAGTTTTAGGACACCATTGGGTCTCCTGATGAAGTTTTAGGACACCATTGGGTCTCCTGATGAAGTTTTAGGACTCCATTGGGTCTCCTGATGAAGTTTTAGGACACCATTGGGTCATCTGATGGAGTTTTAAAACAATTTGTTAATGTTTTAAAGGGCCGGTTGGCCTGGTATTGGGGGACACAATTACTTTAGAGTACAAAAGGTGTTTCTTTAGAACGCTGTAGCAGATTTTTATATGCAAGTGTATTTTAAAAAAAATATAAATAAATAAATACACACCAATAATATGATTTCCCAAAAAGAACTTTTTTTTTTGCAAAGCAATATCCTAATTGTATGTTTTTTACTGTTGTTTTTGTAAAGGGTTGGCCTGCGATTGGGGAACTCAGGTGTTTATCGGCGAGGAAACATGTCCCGGTGAGTCATTATCCGCTCACAGCAGTCTCTGGTCAGGTCTCTCGTTCTCCAGTAACCCCTGAAGGGCCTGTCAGATGTGCTCATTACCAACACACCTTCAGCCACCCTCCTTCACACACCATCTGCCTCTCCAGTGCTTGCTTTCTATATTTGTCCTTAATTTAACCTTATTCAGGCAGAAAGCACTTCAAAATAAACAAGGAAATTCAAGATATTTTATTATGTTTTTGCTTAGTTTGAGTTAACCTATGTTTTTATCTATTTATTTTTTATTTTATCCTGTTAAGGGTTATGAACATGCTAAATTATTGTAGAATGTGCATATGAAATTAGGTTTGCTGGTCAATCTGACCTGGATATTTCATGGTTTATAGCAGCTGCACAGACCTGAAATTAAATCTTTTTTGATGTAGGCTATTTTAGTCAGTTTCTCAACTACCCTCTGGCGGTATTCACAGCTACATTTTTGCATTTGAGAGACTGTTTTATCATGGTATTCATTTTAAATAGTTCATCATGCATGCTATTGTTCACACTGTTTCTGTTTTGTATTTCATACTTACATTTTATTGAATATATGTTTAAGCTGCTAAAAGAACCACTTCGCGTCACCTCATCATCATCTTCATCAAAACTGTTTATAATAGGCCTTTTAAATGGGATTTAATAACAGCTTGCTCCAGCGTAAACCCTCTTTTGACGTTAAATACCCACTGTCAGGATTTACTAAAGATAAATTAGAGCTGAAAAGGAAAAAACAGGCTTATTTTTGATCTTATTACATATGCATTGTAAGAGTGTCTCCTTTATGGGACTAAATAAGCCTATTAAATGAATCACGCATGAAGGTTTGCACTTGTCAGCTTAACTGGTGTTTGCTCCAATATTATATAAAAAAAAAAAAGCATAAATCCAATTAGAGTCATTTTGCCCCCCTTCAAAAAATAAGGCTACCTAGAATGTGAACCTAATACAAGGGTTAATTAAATATTCTGGGTTCCATTGCTCAGTAAATATCTAAGCCTAATTAAAAATAGTTTATTAAAAGTAATAGTTTCAATGTAGTCTGAGTGTTTTTCATATGAAAGTCCAATGTTGTGAATCACAAGCCCTTTATTGTGTCCTTTGTTCTGAAGGGATTGATCTTGTGACAGTTCGTAATAAGATGACCAATTCCTCCGGCCTCGGTTGTGTGACAGTAAATAAGAGCTGTGAGGAAAACGCTGAGATTTAAACAGCAGAATAAGAGAATAATACTGACTCTGTGCTTGAAGCGGTTGGGCTCGCTGCCTTCCTTACGGCTCAGGTCGATGAAGTAATGCGTCAGTCGTGACGTGTCCTCGGCGGCCGTTTCCCAGGTGATCCGGAACGAGTCACAGCTCACCTCGGTGATCTCAATATTATGGGGTGTGGAGAGGAGATCCGCCTCAGCCATCACCTGCGGGAAAACAACACGGCAAACTGTCGAACGGGGAACAATATAGTAAAAACAATCTACTGACATCAGAGGAAATTTATACTTTATACTTCAGGATTTAGCATTAAGCTTTGTATTAGTAGGAAACCTGTAGTATTTTCGAACTACCGTGCTTTCCATCCTCATATCCCCCTGAGACGAGAGATTTATGTATTTTTTGTCTGGAAAAAATCCTCCAGAGGTCCAGAGGCTAAAGACTACAGTCAGTAGTCGGGTCTGTCCCGCATGTCCTCAACCCGCCCATAGAGGGCGATCTCACTCACAGAATGAACACATAGTGTCGGCCATCTTTTTTGGAAGCTAAGCTAGCAGGCTATAACTCTGTGGAGAAAGCTGAGTAGTCGGGGTTACCGTCCTCTTTTCCCGTTCTCCCGCGGCCCTCACTCGTCCCGCTCGCCACAGTAAACATGATGAATGATGTTGAACTATATAACATTGATTAGTTTTATGTACATTTGTGAAGATCTCGGCATCTCGAAAGATGTTGATCTTTGTTTTAGTTCTCCTTTTGTCTTAAAGTCTGTTTGACATGGTCCATAATGTTTGAACAAAACAACAAGAGCGTGAGAGTTCTGCTAAACATAACCCAGTTGTCCACGTCTGTCGCCATGGTCACTATGTCAGTATGAGCGGAAACTGATATGCAACGCTTTTCGCTTGCATTAGTCATCACTAACGCTTTTACTAACGCTTTTGCCAATCCGTAGACATCCAACACACGTGGAACCCTTTAGCTAGGGCTGTCGCGGTAACCGCAATATTGTAGTACCGCGCTTCTGACAAGTCAACCGCAGAGGATTGCACGTAACCGCAGCAACCGCGATATTCACGTTTTTTTTTTTATAAGGCTATACCCTTCTTGTTTTTAACTTAATGCATGTGTATTGAATGTTAAACAAGTTCATAATGACAACGAGATTGTTTATCATGGTGATGTGTAGACTTTGAAGCGAAATATTTGTCACATCATCATTTTAACGTTCTCTTCACGGGTATTTTCCCATAAATGCGCGTCAGCAGCAGCGCTGGTCAGCATCCCACAGCACAAGGAAGTCGCGAAATAAAATCAGTGAGTCACGCATTGAATCAATTGCTATATGGGTCTCTAATAAGTGAAGCATCAGCTTCAGCGTTGCCCATGTGACGCATTGCTGCTCAGCTGAGCCTTGAAAAGTTGAACCTCAAAGTTAAAAATAATTAACATCTTGTTTCTTTACATCTCTTTTAATGAATCAGCTTTTTTAAACATGTTCGTTGAATGAACGGTTCAATGACTCGCTCAAAGTCCGTTGTCATAACAATATGCGCACTGAGTGAAAGTCTTTCAATGCGCATATACTGTAGACGCTGTTTAGTTTCGGTTACATTGGTTACTGAAAATGTCCTCGTTTTTGTCCACATCGTAAACTTTATTTATATAGCAACAAATACATATAAATTAAATAAGTAAATAAATGGCGATAATACCGCATATCGCACTATTGAGCCACTCAACATTACCGCAAGGGAAATTCCATAACCGCGACAGCCCTACCTTTAGCGTCAATATAACACGGTTCGGTTATGGGTAGGTTTTTCCGACGCGTACATTATACGTCTCATCCTGACGTCTTCCCAGGATTTTCACAGGTTGTGTGTGAACGCACTCACAGATCCCGGCAAATCACTGGCAGTGTGAATGAACCGAAATCAAACAATCCCGAGACAAATGCCGGGTCACATTATCCGTGTATTTTGTGTGAAAGGGGCTTTTAAGTATTAGTTTGTAGTAATTAATTAATTCATTAATTAAATCATTTTGTTTAAAAAACTACTATAGGGAATTCGAAAGCCTCTCGGGCATCTAGTGGTAGCACCATTAAATGACATGTTTTTTCTGTCTTTTCTCTCACCAGATGGCGCTAATCTGCCTTCAAAAAATGGATTTCAAAGACCTAATCCCTATCTTAATCTAAAATACTGCATTAAATGAATAAGTATCTTACAATTCTATTAAAATAATAAAAAATAGTACTACTGAACAAAAATAAATTACATTGATTTTTAACTGGAGAAAAAAAACGTCACTTTACACTGTGAAGAACACTACTTGTATAACATTGCAATCTCCAATTAAACTCAACTCTGTTGCCTTCCACCCTGTTACTTTTTCTGAAGACATAATTATATACCTAAATTACATAATATTTTAATTTAGCCTGAGATGGCACGATGCAGTCTATTAACACAAACACATTATAGCGGAAAACACTCGTTTCACAAAATGACCCAGCAGCTCCAGCGTCTCAGAGGACGGATGATAAACAAACTCTGTGAGTGATGCTCTCTGCCTCCAGTGTGTGTGTGTGTGTGTGTGTGTGTGTGTGTGAATGAGGCTGGGTGTTTGATTAGCTGTCATTTCCTGTTCCTGCAACCAGTGACCCTTGATTAATGCGAGTCACAGAATCTATTATCTGCCCTTGTGCTCTGAGAAAGAGCCCATAACTCTGAGAGAGAGAGAGAGAGAGAGAGAGAGAGAGAGCAGTGATTAACATCCACCTCTCTCTCTCTCTCTCTCGTTGTCCTTTCACTGCCCTCATATTTTCCCCATATCAGTTGTCCTTTGATTTTGCTCTTTCACATTTCAGTTTTAATACTTATTAAGTGTCCAAATGAGTCATGTAAAATGTTTAAATGTCACAAATTTGTCCTGTTTTGTAATAAATCTTCCATATGGACAGTATGCTGAAACAGCAATGCCAAGAGCGGACCGCCGTGGAAATGTTGGACGGCACAAATGTGTGTATATGCCAGAAAATGAGAATATGTTTAACAGCAAGTATTCACACATGATTGCTTTGGCACACAAACATATGGCATCCCTTGTGGTAAAGAAGTACACTATCAAAGATTAATAAAAAATAATATACTTTAGAAGAGTATACTTAAGTGTGTGTGAACTGAATGCAATGTTTTTGGCACTTATGTGCATGTTTTTTTTTTGTTTGTTTTTTTTGCAATTGTTTGAAAATGTATTATAGTTTAAATTTATATTAAATGCAAATAGTTCAACTTAAAAGTGCTTTTTTGACCCACTTAAGTATGTATTTTATAATTATTTCTATGGTCTTTGAAATATGTGCTGCCGAATATACTGACACACATTAGTGGTAAACTAAAATATACATTAATGTGATTTCTGTTTATGTTATTTTTGTAATTACACATTTATAATTGTAATTTAGTACATTTAAAATGTACTTTAAATGTAATATTGAATAATACACTACAGTTACAATTACTTTGTAAGTATTAGGCTACTTTAATGTGTTCAGAAACATAGTCGTGAAAGTGTACTAAAAATATATGATTTGAAGTACACTACAAGTGCATATCCAATACAATTAAGTGCACTTCTTTAGGGATACGTGTGTGTGTGTGTGTGTGTGTGTGTGTGTGTGGCCTGAAGTAATCATCTGCTTTGCCTCATGATGGAACGCAATCTAAAACATTAATTTAAGATGAACAAATTGAGTTCACACACACACACACAGCAGTCCGGCTTCTCTCTTCTCGCTGCACATGCAGATTCACACACTGTCATGTCATGGAAACACATCAACTCTCCAGAGTCAGCCTTTTATTCAGAGGGAATTTAGGACATAATACATATCCTCACAGGACCTGCATCAAAGCTGCAAAACACACACACACACACACACACACAGCACTGCTGCTCGCTTTCTATTTTAGAAGCGTTTGAACATTTTTAACTGACTTTTGCTCTAGTTCTCAACAGAAAATCAAGATGCCACACACACACACACACACACACACACATTCTCTGTGATCAAAACAAGCCTCAGGAAAGCAGGTGAATCTTATGAAAACATGTGCAAGTCTCATTTTACCCCATAATACAAAAGAAAAAAATTAAACAAAAGATATATTGCATAAAGAAAATAAAGCTTTGTAGATTTTCTTAGTAGATTCTTGTTTGGATTTTTAGTGTACTCTATATATATATATATATATATATATATATATATATAATGTAATAATAAGGTAAATTACAGTAAAATATATAATAAATACGGTATAGGCCTCTGTTCTAATCTGATCTTCTTATCTGGTCTGGATGGAAGTGTTTATACAGTATATAGTAGTAAACAACAACATGCTTTACTATCGTCGAGTCGGAAACAATTGAGCTGACTCTCTTTCTCTCCACTTTGATAAAGTCTCATCTCAGTGATCAGTTTAACATGCATCCTGTAGGATTTTTATTTTTATTTATTTATTTTAGCATCCAGTAGGATCGAGTATTAATGACTCTGTCCGTCACGGTTCAGGTTTCCCATGATGCCTCTGCAATGCAGCTCTACTGTGGTGAGAGTGAAACTAATATAAGCAACAGTGCTCTGCGTTTCACTGTGATAAACTACACAACAGAAGACATTTACCTCTTCTGGATGGAGAAAGTCTACAACAGCAGTCCTGACCTGAATACACTGCGACTGAGGAAAGCAGGATTCCTACACTCTCAAAAATGCTGGGTTGTTTAACCCAATTTTGGGTAAATTATGGACAAACCCAGCCATTGGGTTACATTTTTAAATGACATTTTTAACCCAATGGCTGGGTTTGTCCATATTTTACCCAAAATTGGTTTAAAACAACCCAGCATTTTTAGAGTCTATTCTATTCTATTTAGTTCTATTCTATTCTGTTCTATATACGTATGTAATGAAGTGTTGTTGTACTGAATAAGAGAGCCGTACCTCTGTGTTGAGCGGGCGCTGTGATGATGGAGGGAAGCGTTGGCGAACAGAGGATGAGTGAATAAACGTGTCTTTGATTCCTCGTCTTCTCCTCTCCTCTCTTTCGCTGCTGCCAGATCCTTAAACGAGGATGAAAACCGAGTGCGAGGGGATTCTCATTTGCCCCCACTTGCTCACTTTCATTTATCGTCTCTCTCTCTCTCTCTCTCTCTCTGTGTGTGTGTGTGTGTGTTGTTTGTTGTCTTCTACAGCTGTATGCCAAAGGAATCAGCATGAGAAAGTGCAGGCAATCAAATCCATAATAAAAGTGATAAAATATAACAAGCTACTCAATCTTGCCTGATTTAACTCTCTCTCTCTCTCTCTCTCTCTCATTCTCTTCTCTCTCTCTCTCTCTCTCTCTCTCTCTCCCTTTCATAGACATAATGTTTTTAAACTGTACAAACTATATATTCTCTATCCTTTACACTAAACTTACCCATCACACAAAACCTTCTGCATTTTAACATTTCCAAAAAAA